GTATAGTAAGGCATAAAAAGTCATAAAAAAGTCATAGTATAGTAAGGCTTAAAAAGTCATAAAAATATCATAGTATAGTAAGGCTTAAAAAGTCATAAAAAAGTCATAGTATAGTAAGGCATAAAAAAGTCATAGTATAGTAAGGCTTAAAAAGTCATAGTATAGCAAGGCATAAAAAGTCATAGTATAGTAAGGCATAAAAAGTCATAGTATAGTAAGGCATAAAAAGTCATAAAAAAGTCATAGTGTAGTAAAGCATAAAACCGACATAGTATAGTAAGGCATAAAAAGTCATAAAATCGACATAGTATAGTAAGGCATAAAAAGTCATAAAAACGACATAGTATAGTAAGGCATAAAAAGTCATAAAATCAACATAGTATAGTAAGGCATAAAAAGTCATAAAAACGACATAGTATAGTAAGTCATAATAGTGGCAGGTTAGCAAAACAATTGTGCAAATTTTGAATAAATCATGAAAGTTTCAGCCTATAATCTACATACCGCAAGGTTTTATTTCAGACATGGAGGCAATTTGTGTCTGACCTCTGACCTTTGGAGGTCAATGACCTCGGCATTGCACTTTTCCAGTTTTTGCCCCATTTCTCCATTATAATCATGGACATCTTTGCCAAAATTGCATAAAGACATGATTTGCAGGGACTGCAGACCCCACCATTTCCTGTTGTTATAGCTGTGTGTGTGTTCTATGGAATTACATAACTAGCACATTAGTGAATATTCTAATCAGAAGCTAGCATGCTAGTTTGGTCTGGACCACACTCATTACTCCAGGGGGCTCTCCCCTGTCCCAGAGGTCACGTCTGAATGCCTCCGGTTCTGAAAAAAAAAACAACTTCAATGTTTATAGAAACACTGGAGAAAGATTCATGCTTTAGTCATAAAATGCCCAACAGCTTATCCTCTGCACTCTTAGAAAAAATTAAATTAAGTTTTAGAAGAAAAGACATCTTTTAAATGATTATACTTTAGTATATTGAAAAAGATTTGTGTGTGTGTAACCTGTGTGTGAGTGAGGTGGGGGTGTGTCAGCAGGTTCCAGCGGGTCCAGGTTGAAGACTTCATCAGTCCGGACGTAGGGAATGTACTCCAGGGCCGGAGGAGGAAGAGGGCCAGAGGCCTGCTGAGTCTGCACTCTGAGTCTGACAGCAGGGACGGGAGGAGAGCGCCCCCTGGAGGAGACGACAACATCGAGACAGAGGAGTCAGCTCACTAACCACCTCACCTTCCAGATGAACAGCAGCTGACTGGACAGGTTTTAATTTAAAAGAAAAACAAGTTACTTCTTCATGATTTTCTACAGCGCTGGCTCCTTCCTTTTATTGCTTTTTACTGCACATAGTTATAACATCTTGAATTCACTGCTACTAAAGACATTTGAGGATTTTTTTTCCTTATTTTTATTTTATTGTATCTCACATGTATTTGAAATGGCCATTTTTTTGTTGTTGGATTAACATTCCACTTTTCTTTTCTTGAAATTTCAACCTCTTCTCTTTGAGAGAAGCAGCTTTTTCCTTAACTGTAACTTGGTCTAATCCTTTGAGCACAACACAGTTCATTTTGACTTTCGATTGCTCCTTAAATATAAATTAAAACGTGGTTCCTGAAGTTGACTCTCAGCTGTCCTCTGTCTTGTATTTGTTTTACAGTGGGGTTTTTGTAGGGATGGGGGTTTAGCAGTAAGAATATTGCACTCAGAGCTGCTCACCTTTCACTGTTGATGGCTGCAGAGATGCTCTGTCCTCTGGAAACAGTCTCCCCCTGAAATAGCAACAGTCACAAACACACATCCAATCACAGCTGCAGGGACAGAAATGAGCTTCACCAGCAGAGAAAAAACTACTCAGTGTTTGTCAGGAAGTTTGTTTACAAAGAAGAAACAAAAGAATTGTGACAAGAAAAAACAGTTTTTTAAATCCAGTATCCACAATGTGAACAGTCAGGAATCGTCTTACCTTACTGTTCGGACTGGTTCTGGTCCGTGTGTGGTTGGAGCAGTGACGAGGAGCATGGTGCTCAGAGAGAGGAGGAGGAGGGGGGTCGGTCCTGGACTGGCAGGTCCTCTCCTGCAGGGCGAGGAGCTCGGCCTGCCTCTTCAGTCGACTCTCCTGTCTGTTCCTCTGCAGAGCGGCCGGGTAACGCTCCGAGGCTGGAACGAACCGACGGCTGGGCCTGGAGGAATCACATGGAGGTTGTTGGAACGCATTTGGATTTCTACATTTGGCAGCTTAAACTCGACAGGGGTGGAATAAGGAACTAGGTTTGAACGCAATTCTATAAAGTTCAGTGGATTACATTTGTACGGGAGGATTAGTACACTGCATAAAATGGAAATACACAAGTATAGTACAAGACAGTACTTCAAATTAGTACTAAGGACCATACTTGAGTAAATGTACTTGGTTACATTCCACCACTGTACATTACATCTTTACATCGTTCTAGTGCTAGAAAATTATCTTAGGAAGCAAGCATGTTATAATTGAACTACTTAAAAGACACTGATTAATTTAAAGAAAAACAAGACTTCTGCTGATTGTTTTTTGGATTAATGAATGAACTCTTTTATATGAAATGTTAAAAATCACACAATCACAACTTCAGAATCCAAGGTGTCGTCTTTAAATGAACCCAGAAGGTATTCAGTTTACTATACATGATGAAGATGAACATAAAATCCTGCCATTAGAGAAGCTGGGACCCATCTTCACTTTCTTTGTCCTTGAAAAAGGACTACAGCAACTAATCAGTTATCAAAACAGTTGCAGATTATTTTTCTGTCCATCAACATTAATCGTTCCAGCTCTGGCGAGTGTTTCTACCTCTGTGTGTTCCACTCCGGCCTCCTCTTCTCTCTCCTGCTCCTGTCCGTCCGTGCAAATGCTTCATATGGGTCTGCTCCTGCTCCTGCTCCTCCTCGAGGCAGACAGATGTTCTCCTTGCCGGTGCTCACTGCTCGGTTCCTGCTGTTTGGAGGAGCAGCAGACAGAGAAGGAGGCGGCTGGTACTGCGCAGAAACGTCGTCTGCTCCGAGCGGGAGAGAGGAAGCTGCTTCTACACAGGAAGAGAGGGAGAGAAAAGAAGCACTAAGAACAGTTTAAATTTGTCAGCTACGTCTGCACGATATGAGGAAAATCTGCAATGTGTGATAACACTGTTCAGTATTGTGATGAAGATATGACCTGCGATGAATAAACAAATATTAAAGTGCATATTAAAAATATAGTTCCTGTGTCTTTCTGCTTTAATAGGTGCTAATATAGACCCTCAAACACTGAATAGCCTAAAGCCACTGAATACAAAAGTGAATTAATAATTATTTTGAACATACTTTTTTGACTTTTTTTTTATTTGAACAAATTCCACATGAATAACCAACTAATTAAACAGAATATTAATTTAAATGGGTTATTTTAACTATTAGAAGAAGAAATTAAAATTTAATTTCCCCTGCTCCCTTTAAAATGTTTTCTTCTAATCTCAATAAAAACATCTTGAAATAAAAAAAATATCTGGAGGAAAACATAAATAAAATAGAATATAATTAATTAATAAATTAAACATTGAAATTGAAAATAACTGTAATGTTTCCCATTACAACCATCGACTCCACTCAACAGGATGCAACCACATGTGTTCCTTGTATGTAGCAGTAATAGTTCAGTTACCTGTCTGTACAGCGGTGTCCTTGTATGGGGAGACTGAACTGCTGACCTCCTCCTCCAAATGCTCAGCCTGTCTTGTAACTGCTGAACACACACACACACACAAAACACACACACATTTTCCTTACTTCCTGTACCACAGCACAGCTCGACTGACAGCGTTCACACTGACCCAAACAATCTAAACCAAATGGACACACACACCGGAGTTCGTTTGAACCACTGCAAACGGGGCCGGTGTGAAAGCACCGCGCTCGTATTTGGGTTTATATTGTAGAAATGTTACAGTTGCACATCGGGTCGGCTCTACTCACCGCTGGGCTCCAGTGTCTCCTGCAATCTGTCATCACCGGGACCTTTCTTCGGCTCCTCTGCCGGATGGCTCGGCTGCTCCCGGAGGACAAACACAGTAAAACAGCTCAGTGGCGGTGCGGAGAAAAGGACTCGTTTGAAGACTTGTGCACAGTGTGTGTATGCTGCTCTCTGACCTTCTGCCTCTCCCTCAGTGTGTCCAGCTCATACTGTCTCTGCAGCATCTCCCTCTCCAGCGCCACCCTCCTCTCTTCGTCCTCCTCCTCCTCCCTCCTTCTCGCCCTCTCTTCTTCCTTCTGCCGCCGACGCTCCTCCATCTGGGCTTCGATCGCTCGCTGGGGGATGATAGGGAGACAGTAGAATACAGCATATATTTTTTAGCTAATTGTAGGGCATTATCATTTGTGCTGTCTGTTTTATGTTGTTTTTGTTACTATTGACTGTTTTAATTCCAGTTCAGATGTAAAAGCCTGACTAGGGACAGGTTTCAAATTACAGTCTCTATCAAATAAATAAATAAACTAAACTAAACTATAAAAGGTGAGTGGTAAAAACTGAAGCCTACTCCTCCCCCTCCCTTGCTATGTTTCTCACCCCCCTCCTCTTCCTCCCCCTACTACCTGCTGCTCTAGCTGTTTGAGCCTCCTCTTCTCTCTCTCCTCTATCTGGGTGGGGTCCAGCAGGGCAGTCATGGTCCTCAGATAACTGCACAGAACAAAGAGGAGCAAAGAACACTAAACATTTACTCATGCACATCTGGAGCCGGACAAAGTGCACATTCCTGGGGGATTCATTAGTAAAGTGAAGATAGTATTTCCACTGTTAACCTCGTGATCTTTGTGACTAAAGATAAAATAGCTGCTGCTGTGTCCAATTGATGATTTTACAGAAGCGCATCCATAAAATGCTCCCCCCCTGTCCTCTTATCTTTCACCCCTCCCTCCTACCTGGCTCTGCTCGGGTATCCGCTGGTCGTATCCACGCTGGCCCGCCCGGCGCTCTCCGCTCCACAGCTGCTCATGGCCTCCCAGACTAGGGATAGGCTGGACGAGGGCTCCCAGTCCCCTCGCTCAGATGCGCTGGATGGGGCAGGAGGTGGGGCTGATGGAGCTGCAGTGTGGACAGGAGGCCTCCTCTGCAGCGAGTCAAAGTGGGTGGCCCAGAGCTCGTGGTCTTCTGCCTGCACAGACCCCGCCACAATAAAACACACACACAGCCAAGAACATAAAAACCAGATCATGAGTTCAACAGGAACATGAAACACAGAGGAACAGCAACGTCAATCATCAACTATGACTCACAGTATCTCTCCTGTCTGGTTTCTACTATGTCTCTACTGTCTCTGTCTCTACCATCTCTGGTTTCCACTCTGTCTCTACTGTACCTGGTTCTGCAGCAGTTTCTCTCGTCTCCTACGTTCAGTCGTCTCCTCTCTCTGTTGGTCCAGCTCCTCCAGCCAGCGTCTCCTCTGCTCCTCTCTCCTCCCAACACTCAACAACTCCTCCACTGGCGTGACCTCCTACAGAGACAACAGAGTTCAAACAATAAACTCAGGATCTTTATTGACATTATTTTTTTAAATGTCATAATGCTGAACTAGAAAAATTCAGACATGTTCATCCAACACCACAAATTTATGAAGCGTTCTGCGTGAAGCACGGGAGCTACATTTTTTTTATTCCTGAACTCTTTGGTTCAAGAAAAATGTCGTGTGTCATCAGTGTGGAGAAATGAAAAGATCATTCCACCGCTGTCATCAGTGTGTCCTGGTGTCATTATCTGTGTCATTTAAACCTGAGCAGCTTTCTACTCACCAGCATGAAGAATCAAACTAAAGGAGGAAAAGCTGCATTTCTCAGATATGCTGCTCAGTGAGACAAAAACCTTTAGTAAGTCAGATTTACCCCGAGTTTGAGGCTGGATCTGATGGCTGAAGGCTGCTCTCTGTGGCTGATGGAGCTCTGAACTGATAACAAACTCTCCGTGTCCTCCTCAGCCTGAAACATAAACACACAAACAGACGATGAAACATGTCTCCAAGCTGTGTCAGTCTAGATGACATTTTAGATGACAGCCTGACATTTTCCAAAGCTGTCTGTTCAATAAACAAAAAACGTGCACAACATTAATGAATATTAATCAGTTGAAACCAGTTCTTACAAATTTATCTACTCAACCAAATTCAGGGCAAAACACCAAATAAAATTCCAATTTTTATTTCTTTTCTCTCACATTTTATGCAAAATTTGCCTGAACAGTTCGATGGAGACAAAGCTATCAGCGCCACGTCAGTATGAGGAACAGTCTGTTGTCAGAGCTATTTTGGTTTTTCTGGTGTGTACACAAAGCAACATTCGTCTTGTTCCAACAGTGATGAAAACAACCATCAAACAGTGAACCTCTACAAGATCAAAGGTGAAATATGTGTCGTACCTGGAGTCTGCCAGAGGCCGAGCGCTGCTGCTGCTTCAGTGCCACCTGCTCGTCTGACAAACACACACATATGCAAAAACTCACTTCATTTGTCAGAACTACTTTATTAAAGTGCTGCACCAAACCATTATCTTTATCATTAAAGTACCTTAAGTTTTTGATTAATCATTTAGAATATAAAATTCTATCTAATATGGATTACTCAAGTTTTAAAGTGTGTGTGTGTGTGTGTGTGTGTGTGTGTGTGTGTGTGTGTGTGTGTGTGTGTGTACCAAGTTCTCTCCTCCACTGAGCCTTCTTGGCGTCGATGGCCGATCTGCCGCCTGACTGTCCCTCCTCCAACCAGCTGAACAAACATCCAGACAACCTGAACGAAAGTAACATCATTCTACTTTTAACCACCATTTTAGAAATACAGATTTTCTTAAAAACAAACTAACCAGCAGTATTAATGACCAAACTGTCAGAATATTTCTAGTATCAGTATCTACTGATCTACTGAGCCTGTAAATCTTACTGAACACCAAACATCTGTGTATGTTTATAATACAGCAAAGACAGGAATACATGGAATATAGTTAGGTCAGGTCTGATTGTAGAGTCACAGAAATATGAACAATCTGTGACCTCTGATCTCTACTACTGTTTGATTTCACACTTCCACACCGTACCAAGGCTGGATAGTTCCTCCCTTTGCTCTCAAAACTCGTTCTTCGTGTTATTGATCTCTTTGAGATTCTGCTCCATGTTGACATGATTACATCAAATCATTTATACAGATATGTCAGCTGCACATTCATGCTGCCACATCCCAAAGGTGTTCTACTGGATTCAGATCAGGTGACCGGGGAGGCCACTGCCGTTCACTGAACTCATCATCATCATCATCATCTTCATGAAACCAGTTTGAGACGACTTTTGCTTCATGACATGGTGCATTATCAGGTTGGACGTAGCCATTAGAAGATGAGACACATTGTCGCTATAATTTTATTCCTCAGAAGAAATCCAGATTCATCAGACCAGGCGACGTTTTCCCAGTCTTCAGTGGTCTGTGCCCACCAACCACAGGTTCTGTAACTCCTGACCTGTATCTGTATGATTTTATACATTTCACTGCTGCCACATATTTGGCAGATTGGATAACTGCATGAATAAACATGTGTACAGGTGATTGTAATCGAGTGCTCGGTGAGTGTGAAGACAGAAGCTTGAACTTCTATTGTGAACCCCACGGAGAGACCCTCTGGAAAAGAGACAGGAAGCTACATTTCTAGAGCCCTGTACATTTGCTGTTATCAGCTGAATAAATGTTTAAATGTTGTTTTCATCCACAAGAAACGTGTTTCGCCAGCAGAAATGACTGTTAAGGTGGGCTCCTCACCTGTTGTCTTTATCCTGAGAGGTTCCAGTTGTATCAGTCACTCCTCCACCACCATCTTCCTTTATTCCTTCCTCTGCTCCTCCTCCTCCTCTGTCTGCCTCCTTCATCTCTCCTCCTCGTCCTCCTTCATGCAATGAGGTGCCAGATTTCGAGCCTGTTTGATTTTGGTTCAAGTAATAGATTAATCAATGGATCATCAGTAATCAATATATTTTTGTATTTTTTGTGGATTATTTGTGGATTTTTGCCACCGTTGTCTTAGTTTGTAATGTCAGTCTGTTATTGTTAATACTACCATCACTGCCGCTACCCTGCGTCCTGTGGTCCTCTCCTGGTTGTTCACCATTGCTGGAGGTCTGGACGGTGTGGAGGATCTGCTGTAGCTGCTCACTGGTCAGAACCGCCATGCTGTCCTTCAGCCCTGCACCCCCACTGGCCAGCGTGTCCTTTAGTCCCGCCTTTCCACCAGCTTGTGTCCCACTGTTCTGAGGCTGTCCTGTTTTCCCATTGGCTCTTAGGGATCCAACAGTGGAGCCGTGTTTGTGTCTATCTGATTTCACCTTCAGCGCACACACACACACACACACACACACACACACACACACACACACACACACACACACACACACACACACACACACACACACACACACACACACACACAGTCAGAGCAGATGGATGTGCAATCAAAGGATGACGGGTCAAGAGTAAAGCAAAGAAACGGGATGCAGCATGAGAGTTACCTTGGCCACAGCTTTTATGCCGCCCCCGTTGTGATGCTCATGTGTCTTGGATGATATCAAAGTGGTGCTTCTCCCTCCAGTGGTGGCGGTGTTGGCAGCTGCTCTTCCTGCCTTGGTCTTGGCCTCTTTATGTCTCCCTGCCTGCAGACGGGCTGGACGCTCCTCTACCTGCACTTCCTCCACACAGGACGGCTGCCTGGAGCTGAGGATGTTAGCCGCTCTGGGCCTGATGGACAGCTGCTGGGTCTACATGAAATTAAATCAGATCAAACAAAACTATAATGGATAATATTTTACATAAACAGCAATATAACAAAGAGACATTTTAAAAGCAAATGTAAAAATGTAATGGCCAGGCTGCGAGGATGATTTCTACCTTTGCTGGATTCTTTTCAACACCTGCAGTGGAAGAAAATTATTATTGTGAGCAACTTGAACGCTATACCTCAACACACATAGGTTCACATGCACTAATAGTAGGTCTAAAATAAGCCAATGCTAAAGTTTGAATGTGCATGCCAACAATAACCAGTGTGGATAGAAGGAAACTGAAAGACCTAATAAGAACAGCAGCTAGGGGAGTTAGTGTTCCCTGGAAAACAAGTAAAAGCCAAAATGTCTCACCATGGCTGAGTAAAATCAACCTGGGTTTCCCATTTTCAAGTTCAAACAGCAGGCCATCTCTGTTCATAAAAATTAGAAATATCAAAGCAAACAACAGAAATATGAAAACATAAAAGTAGTATTAATAACATTAATAAATATTCCAGTAGTAAGCTAAACAGTGTGCAGGACTTTTATCCTTTTTATTCAGATTGTTTCTTTCCTTCGACACACGTGTCTCACATTTTGGTGTGCAGACTCTTCCAATGTCTCTCAACAGCAAAATTATCTCAATCCTGGAAAAATCACACGGACACTTTTCATCTCCTCTGGTGTAAATAAATCAGGGCCACATACGTATACAGCTTCAATGGCCTCCTTCATGTTTGACTACGTTCATGGTTACAGCTTTATTTGAGATACCAACAGCAATAGTTCAGTTATGATGCCAATTTCAGAACTGCACAGAAAAACAAACGTTTGATTCCAAGCTTCTTGTGGGCTCCTCAAGTTGCAGCTCATTTATGTGGTTCTCAGTCATTGCATGCACAGAAACATAATTGCTTGCCTTTGGTCTAAATTACCAAATTGTAGGTTGCTTTAAAGGTCGCATATTTTACTGTTTTCCAGTGTTTATTTGAAGTTTTAATATCCATAAGAAGGTATATTTGTGGTTTTAAGTACCACAAACCATCTCAATGTAGTTTTACATCTCTCTCAGGCTTCTGTCTGGAGCTCAAGCAACAACAGGTCAATCAGCCAGTCATAAGAGTTTGCAGACTTTGTCTTTGTAACACTGACACTTAACACTACATACAGTAACATGTTACCTGGCAATGGCATTATATAGCATTACATACATCAAAACTCGAACACATACGATATTTAACGGCACTGATTTACATTCATCACTCTGCTTTGTGGCTTGCCATGTTTCATATGAACTGGCTTTTGTTTTTGTTTTTTATTTTACTTTTTTACTTTCAGTCTGAACGCCATGCAATAATAACGTCTATACATTTCTTTTTTTTTTGTTTGCAGGGACTCCAGTTACATCAATGTTTACATTTCATTATTGTTTTGCCCTCATTTCTAGCCGACTTTTTACAACAAGCACCAAAACTCTGCTTTATAGCTACAACAAGCCGTTTTTATTATATTCTCCGTTTATGTGTGACCAGTCATGTTGAGTGTTTTACAAAGAGCATTTGTTGTTCGAGCACAATTTGGCTGCAAGCTAGAAAATAATCCCTGTGCATTTCACTGCGACACATTCGGTCAATGTGCTAGCTTAGCCTGCTATTGTTAATTTGAAAAAAAAACATACTCACCCGAGATTCATGCCGACAGAAAATATTTACCGAGGCGGCCGCAGGTTTAACGACCACCTTGTAGAGGCAGAAACGGGCGGTTAGAAAAGCATTTATAGTTTAATAAAGACGGTTTTGTCCAGCGTTGGACTGACCGCACTGCCAGGGACACGCCAGTTCCTGGATGTTAAATTGTGTACGTTGGTTGCTGTCAACGACCAAGAACGGCTTCACCGATTGGCTAATTTTTTCTTCACTGCAAAACTAACAGCCAATCAGAGATATGCATTTGGACATTTACGTTAAACGATGTTGCATTTAAGGGGACTGGGAATTTATTTAAAACGACACAACAAATGAGCCAAAATATGACGATAAAACAAAATGTAACGATTACTGACGTTACCATTTGCTATTACCGCTATTTACGGCTGCTTACTAAACTATCACCGCAGCGAATATTTTTATTAAAATGGAAGCTCCTCGAATTTTATTACATTTTTTTTTTTATATGAACAATCCCTAAGAAAACATGATCATTCAGGATCAAATAGACTGATCTTCCAAAACGTACATTCAATTTTAGTCTGTCAACAAATGTATCAACTAGACACATTTCTATTAACGTTTCTGTGTAATCTCTTCAAAAGCTATGGCTGTCGTGAATTAATCTCCCCCAGCAGATGGCGACAATGTAGCTTCATAAAAATAGCCAATATATGACCACCAACTGATCAATTTACCACTCCTGTTAAACAAAGGTAAATGCAGAGTGCAGACAAATTAAGTCATGAAGGCATTGACTAACTGCACTCTGCATTCAGAACAAAAAGTTTTGTTAATTAAGCTAGGTCAATCTTTATCTCTTAACTTAATAGTGACCCAATGCTATCACTTGGCCCTCACCACAGTTTATTTAATACATGAAACTGGAACCTCTGAATATTTTAATGAAATATTGACCACTGAACTTCAGTGTAGCTTTCAGTTTTTCCTTTTTCGTAATTTTCAAAAATATCTATAATTCTGTTTTCTGTCATTATGAGGTATCAAGTGTAGAATGATGAGGAAAAAAGGGAATGTAAACAATTATAGTATAAGGCTGAAACATAAAATGTGGGGAAAAAAAGCAAATATACTTTCTAAATGCACTGTATGTTCACATTCAAGTGACAAAGCCCTCTTGCTGCTGTGGTATTTGTGACTTGTTTGATGGGACCAAAAGAGGAAGTAGAAACATGATAGAGGAAGAATGTAGGGGTGGATTATCTAAGTTGTGAATGGACGGGTCAATAAAACACTGGACTTTGACATGAGAGACTACGGTTGGCTTCATGTTTCCGACCAACAGTCAGTCTTATAAGACCATGATCTTAACCCTGCACAGAGTCTTTTTGGCCTGAAGCCCTGTCACTGGAAATAGTTCAGTCTACCACTATAATAAGGTAGGTTTTAGGAACTAAAAAGATGATATACTTATTGATACAGTAACTTGTGTAGTTCAGGTTTGCTTTGGTTTGTGGCTCTGCATGGTTTCTGTACATGTCTGTGAAAAGAGAAGCTCACACCCCCTTTTCACCCCATAGAAAAGATTTCACACAGATATCATGAATCAAAATCATCCCAAACCCCCACAACAAAGTTCCTTTTTAAAAAACACATTCTTTAACTTCATATTTAATTTTTTTCCATTAGCTGTTTGATTATGTTTTCTGGAAAATTTATTTCCCAACATAAACATTTAAAGGCTGTTTCAAAGGCGTCTTCATACCATGATGAATATTCTGTATAGTGAATCCTGTAGTTGTATTTTAGTCTAAATACACTGGACTCAGCCATTAAATAACGTTTTTATACCTAAATTCTGCAGAAATACAGAGGACATGACCTCCATGGCAGCTGTGGTCCTTGTCACAAAGAGAGACTGTTGTGTGTTTCTGGTTTGGGGGAATCACAGCAGAGTGAGACATCACGTGTCTTCTTCACTCCATGCATCAGTCTGGCTGAGCTGTTTTCTTCCATGTACAATATTACAACACTATCAGTGATGATTGCACAATTCTTCATTATCTGTACTGTTAGTTTATGGCAGATCTTGAGTAATGGAAACAATAAAAAACAGTAAATATAGGTCACACTCAAGTGATACTGACCCAAGACACTTAATATTATAAGGACAACGTCAAACGGTAATTTTCTTTCCCTTTTTTGTGTGTTATGTAAAGCACTTTGAGCTGCATATCTTTACTATGATTATCATAAAATCCTATTTTCTCAGTTACTTCCTATGGCATGGTTTGGTATTATTTGTTCACAACAACAACTTGGACAAGGACATGCAAACGCAGAGTCATGCAGTAAAGAAGTGGAACATGGTTCAGGTGCTCCACAACTCTTGTTTCAGTGATTGGACTCCAGGTTTGCCAATTGCTGACTCCAGTTAGCTTTTGTTACAGTAATGCCATTAGCCAAGGGGACAACTACACTGTGAATATTTGAATGATGTATTCAATGTGGACAAGAACAATATAATATGGTGTTATTAAAATAGACTGTTTGTTCATTATTGTAACTTAGATAAAGATCTTACAATAGATTTCTCTTTCTGGTTCCAGGTTTAAGGCTGTGACTCTGCATTTTGGTGTCAGTCCAATGTGGTGACACAGGAGAGACAGAAAAGGAGAGGGGGGATCTGTGCACAGAAACGAAACTTAAAGTTGCCGCAGACGCCTGATGAGGAAATGAGAGCATAGAGCTGATGTGCATCCTGTTCAGAGGGACAACAGACAGATACAGACTCCAGACACAGTGAGGACACACAGACGCTTCACTGTAGAGACTCTGGTCAGCTGGGTGAGGATGAAGATGAAGAGCACGCAGCTTTTTGTTCCTATGATGATGGTTATCATGATAACTATTGTTCCAAAAACAACTACCATCACTACAAGTTGGACTACCACCACTCCAAGACCGACTACCACCACTCCAAGACCGACTACCACCACTCCAAAACCGACTACCACCACTCCAAGACCGACTACCACCACTCGAAAATGGACTACCACCACTCGAAGATGGACTACCACCACTCAATGGACAACAGGTACACACACACACACACACACACACACACACACACAACAACACACACACACACACACACACACACACACACACACACACACACACACACTTAAAGAATTATAAAGACTTTTTTAGGGCCATTTTCGGCTTTATTATGACCGGGACAGTGAGAGAGAGACAGGAAAGTTAGGGAAGAGAGAGAGTGACACGCATCAAAGGGCCGGAGTTGGATTTGAACCCAGGTAAAGACTGAGATCTTAAATGGTAAACACTCCCAGGTGAGCCACAAGGACACCTCACTTTTAAAGACTTTTTGAAACATCTCCTGGTTAAATGCAGGTCATATCAACAAAAATCAAATCACACAATTCACACTTTGCAGGCAGAAGGTCAGAGGATTTAGTGCAGTCAGGCCTGAAAATACAAACTGTAAGTGTGGAGCTTCATACCAACTCTTAACAGGTTTTGAGTGTGTTATTTAGATTATTACTTTATTAATAACCAGAGGGAAAACTGGTTTGCTCACTCAGGCACAGTGACTAATAACAAAACACAACAGACATTATACTACTGCAACAGAGCGCCTTACTGCAAGTTTATAATCCCGCCAAGCCACTAAATTAAAACACAGTTCAGACAATTGATCCATTGGTGTATGAAGAGCTGCAAGAAATCTGGCAATTGATATAAAATGAAACTATCCTTAAATAATATTACTTTACAATCGGCTCTAATTAACACAGTCTAAAGGTGTGAAACACACATTAACACACATTAAAAATAATCACTTCAAAAAATCAAAACATGTACAGAATGCATGAGTAAAAAAAATCTGTTAAATTGTGTCGACAACTTCTTTGTGTGGTCTATTTCCTCTTTCCTTCTCCAGGTCATCCTGCAGTAAATTTAAATGGGAAGATGGTCACTTTGTCTTATAATGGAGGAGGGATATCCTTCTATCCCCCAAATTATTCTCCTCAGCCTTCTGCCTGGCCCTCCACTCCTTCCTACACCACCACCTACCCTTTCTCAACCACTCCGCCTTCGACCAGAGGTGAGAACATTCGCAATATACAAAACCAAAAAGAAGCACTTTTCTCTCTGTTAGGTTTTTTATTGTATCAAACATTAGCTGAAACAATTACTTGTATGGGAAACAGTTCAGGAACAGAATCAATCACACAATCAGTTGCTCATCAAAAACTAGAATGATACTCTTCATTATGTTTTGCAGATTAAGTGACACTAAGTGATTTCTAACCACAAGGAGGCAGAAGGAAGGAAGAGTAACTTAACACTAAATTATATCTACAGTCTCTTTGTTAGACGATCAGTTTATTGTGGTTCAGCACTCTGGCAGTTCTTTGCCCAAATCCATTGATTCTGCCCTTTAGATCAAAACAATTCTGTGAAACGTAGTGCTGGGCGAGATGGTCGGACTTGGGCACAAACTTGGGAATAATTCGTGATTTTGATTGATTGATTTTTTCCCCTGAAAAATGTAGCAAGACTGAAACAAAATTGAAACGTCATATTTTAAGGCCTTTATGTGCAAAATGGTTGAGCAAGATTGATAAAGAGTAAAACTGCACTGTCTGCAAGGCCGTGTCTTTACTGCTTTGAGTCTCTTTGTGATTGTATCGAGTCTCTGTTTGTTATGTTGTGTCTTCTGTTGTTTTGTTTCTTTTTGTGTGTCTTTGTTGAGTCTGTGTGTGGTTGTGCTTGAAACGTGAAAATGAACCCATGTCTCAGGTGTGATGTTATTGCACAGACCCACTTCTGTCATGTGCACTACATAGTGTATTTGAGGCTGTTCCTTTTGTATTATAACAACCAAAGTACTGTTCATGTACTGTTTGTTTTCTTACTTGATTTTGTCAATAAAATATGTAAATCAACACTCCCTCATTTAAATCCTGCAGGTTTGTCCATGTGTCTGCGTTACCTCTCTGACTACATGCCAACCAGTTACCCCCCAACCTTCATAGTCAGTCCACGCAGCAGTCACCCTCTGACTCTGCGATTCAGAACGACTTCATATGAAGTGTCCTTTGATAGGTACGGTTACACCAACCTGTACTTGTCACCCCGCATAAAACTCCTGCCAGGAGTTGCACCGGACATCTGGACCAGAGTCTGCCTCACCATAGACTCCATGAAGAATGTGGCCCAGATGTTCAGCGGCTCCTACATGAGCATCAGGAAGATGCTGAATGATCGGGTGAGGACGCAGTAATTTGTTAATTTACTGTAAAAATAATAGACACCCATCATCAACACAGTAAGTACAGCAGAACACATCTTAATATCACATTATCAAGTTTATATGGTCTAAAGCAGCAACATGTGGGCTGCAAAGGTATCACAAGTGGGCCGACAACCTGGGTGACAAAATATAGTTATGATTAAAAAAAAAAAAACAACATTTTTAAATGTTTTAAAATGAAATGATCTTTAAATATATTAAAATCGTTTAAAAGTGATTTTAAGTGAATTGGAGAGAAACTATTGCCCTGAAATAATGGTACAGAAAAGTCACAACTTTACACGTTTCCCCATCAGAACCAGTGAAATAAGAGTCCACCAGATAAATCCTAAGAATCAGTTAAAGTGGCAGCTGTATGGTATTTTTATAGATTTGAACCAAGATATACTGAGGCAACACAACCCTCAATTTTTGTAGCTATTGAATGATAACCAGACTGAATCGGAATCAGATTGCTCTACAAGCAGGTTCACTCTAAAACTGTGTGTATTCAAAGATATCAGAGACATGCATGTGGATTCTTTACATCAAATTTAATTTATTTATTTAAATTTTTGTTTTTATTTTCATATTTCATGTCTGAAAAGGGATTTAATACTTTGAGGATAAGACTACAAACTCAACAACTTGTGGATTTTGTACATAATCATCGTCTCTAATATTATATATCTGCTGTTTCTGTGTGTGTGTGTGTGTACGTGTACAGTACTCATGGACAAGTGAGCCAGTGATCGCGGTTTCAGGTTTTGATGGTCAGGTCACTGACGTCCAGATGTGGGATTATCCTCTGAGCTACAGAGAAGTCACTGACTACATGAACGGTGGCGTCTACAGGTATGAACCTTTGAGTGAGTGAGTGAGTGTGAGTGTGTGTGTGTGTGTTTCTCACATCTTCAAATTACCATTTAAAGATCAAGACTTGATTTTAGCATTGAGGTTAGTTTGGATGGTTAGGTTTAGGGGCTGGGGTCTTCCCAAACTCAAATGGATAAAATTAAGTGATTTTTAGGGTTAGTGACATTTTAAATGGTCAAAGGTCAACTTCGCTGTGACATCATAATGTTCTCCAAAAATACTCAGGAAGGGGAGATTGTGACCATACCTCCCTGCATCTTTGCTGCTGGGCGGAGGGATACAACCACGAGGCGGCAATTCTAGTTCTCTTTGTTTGTTTGTTTTCTTGTTTCCTTTAGTGCCCAAGTCAGTTTTGGAATACATGAGCTGTTTCTGTGATTGACAAGACAATCCACAGTGTTATTTTACAATTAAAAGTCCTTTCATAAAAACAAATCTATAAAATTTATGTTTAACATTACAGTATAAAAAAATACAAATACCATGTTTTCTTTACTTGTTTGAGTTCCATCATTCCCCCTAAAAAAAAGAAAGTTTGTGTCTGTGTTTTTAGGCTGTACCGCGGCTCCGTCCTCAGCTGGTCCTACATCAACTACTCTCTCAGTGGAAATGTGCTATTGGAGGACGTCTATGAGATCCAGGCGAAACAGCCAGTGAGCAGGAGGGGGAGAGGGCGTCGGCCGAAGGGAGAGAACAAGACCAGGAGGGTTTTCAATGTGGGGGAAAGTAAAAGCAGAGAGCGACAGCAGCTTTAATGAAACATACAGGAGCATGTGCAGGAAAATCCTCATTTAATCATTTAATGATCCAAAACTCAACTTGAATCAGCAAACAACAACTCATCAACAAGTAATAATTAATATGAAATATAATTAAAACGTTATTGATTTGATAAAAGTATGATTATTTTTTACAAGACAAACTAGTCTCACTTTAACACTTTAAGCTAATTAAAGCTAATTTTTACAAGCACCTTTGACTTTTTATTGTTCTCTGTGTATTTGTTTTAATTTTTATATTGTTAAAAAAAACAATAAAGAGACGGCTCACAGAATTTTGTTATTGTTTGTCAGATTTATGTAACATGCAGCTTGGACAGAGAGGTATTATTAAAATTTCTGATCTGTTCTGATAATGTATGTATAATTACTGTATGTATTAGAAACAGACCATCTTACAGGCCATGGGCGGACATCTAACTTGTATCAATTAATTATGGATAAAGCAAAATAATCCTCAATCAGCAAAAGATTATTTAATCCAACAATCTAAATATTAACATCTCAGAAAGAGATTGAGAGCTGATATACTATGACACCCAATATCAGACTATCAATACTAGAAACTAGCTGATCAAAGACTTTTCTTTGGAAGCCAAGACGATTTAAGAGAATAAGAGAACACACTGAAATTTAAGCTCTCTCTTTAATGACATATAATAACCACCATGGTCAAATTAATGTCAGCTGTTACCATCACTTCAGCAAAACAGGAAACAATTTTTGAAAATACAATCAAGTACAGTGGACTCACCAGAACCTAAAAAAAAAAAAAAAAATGCGTGAAAAATCTGCTCTGATCTTATTGTCACAGCAGCCTTTTTAAAACTTTGGTCAGCAACTTTACTCAGAAGAAAAATTAATATCATACCAACACAGAACAGTTAGTTGGTTCAAGCAGAACAAACACAGAGCTAATGTTACCTAGTGCAAGCTAACACCAGCTAACATTAGCTAAGGGCTAAAATATTAAAATATGAACCTATATTCCTCTTTATTCTTGTCTTGTTTGTATTTTTTAACATGTTTAACATTTAAAAACGTGACATGAATATATTATGTCTTGGTTAACAGATGTGTAGCACAGAGAACTAGCTAGTAGATAAAACTAACCAAATGTTCAAAATGGCTGCTGTGTCTTTTTTTTTCTTTTCTTAATTATAATAATGTATCAAGCGAAAGCAAACAAACAATGAAAGATACAAAGGTTCAAAGGTTCAACTTAGAATAAGAGTAACATAAGATTGTAATCAACACCTTTGCCATCGCTCACATAAAACACAATCAACTCAAGGCCATTGTGTGGAAAGCATCAATAAAGATCAACTTATATTCATCACTTTCCTCGTATTATCATCGCTTAATCAAACTGTAGTCCTCCAGAGTGGTTGAGTGTAGTGGTTATGGCTTCAACAAAAACAAAATATATAGTGACTGTGTCAATGGAGCAAAATGTAGCTGTGCAACACAATGGCTATATGTGCTTGTATTAGCTTATGTTGACTTTTTGAATTTGTAACATCTTGTTGTTTTTCTTTCAGACACTTGACAGAAAGAATGGTCAAAGGTTTTGGCACTTGAAAGTCCTTGTTAGCACAAAATGTCGAAGATAGCCACAAGCTAACCTAGCAGGACAACTTTGGGGCGAGTAATACCACAAAAGTTTGTTTCGATAAAAACACCAAGTACTACCAGGACCAGGATCACTGGTATCAATACCAATATTGATACTTTTTATTGCTAAAAGCAGCTAATATGTAACGATCTATTAGCCGAGAGCATTATTAATAGGCTACTTCTGAACATGAGGTTATTCTCTCTTAATTACTCAATTACATGCATGTTTAAACACAATACTTTAGTTTATTATATTTATCGGTCAAGGACCATGTACAAAAAATCGTAAAAAAAAATAATATTAACAACCATGTGGGGTTTTGTTTAAATATTCCTTATTAACTTTATGCAGAAATTTGGCCATTGACACCAACACCAATAAGCAGTTGGACTTTAGCAAAATACTTATTCATTTAAACCAGTAATTGACAAATGGTGTCAATGTTAGCTGCTGTTTTCAAGGTCAGTGAAGAGAAATGCTAAAACTTTCCATTCCCATTGTGTCCGTTAGCAAATAAGCTACAAATTCAAAATGTCAAAGTGTCTCAACATCATTGTAATTATTCTAAGAAAGGTAAATTAACATTATATGAAGCAATTCTTATTTATAACTCTGTATTTATCAAGACATCTGTTGTAATAACAAAATAATTATTGTACATCCTCATATCAGGGCCAAATACACTTTACACCATTATGTACAAAACTCTTAATTCTCTACAGAGTGGAATATGAGAATAGCCCTCCATAAAAAAATTCAAAGTTGCTAAAATAAGTTGTGTTTTCTTTTAACAAATATAAAACTTACATGGTTGCCCAACAACCAGATGACACAGGTTTTTCCAACCAGCACATATTTTTTGTTATTTTTCTTTACAATTATCTGCTGAACAAAAATTTCAAAGCATTCATAAAACATATGTTACGTGATGGCTTCAAAGAAAATGACCCAAACAACATATTCCAAAAGTGTGTCAAGAAGTCCATTTTACATTTTCAAACAAGTGAAATGCAAACATCAACTAAATTCCTGTGCAGATGTGCATGACCACTAACTACACAAAACCTGGTAGTAAGTCAGAGTAATTTACACTATGAAAGTACAAATTACCATAGTAAATAAAATTACCTGTAAAAGTGTTATTGCTGTCATTATATATGGTTTTGTCAATTTATACACTGTTAGAGGTCCAGGAATGTCCATCAGGCCTAAAGAAGCTTTGAGGTGAATTATTTTCATTTCCAGGAACATACTGATGGTTTTTTCATGTTTTATCCCTTTAAATTCAAAATGTTAAATCTTAGCCTGCTGCCACGACAGATATCTTGTTACAATTTTAATAAATGACAAAAATCATGGTCAATTGACAAAAAAAAAAAAACACCAAAATCTTCAATCAATCCAAAACCTTGTATCCCGAAGCAAAAATAATCCACATTAATGTAAATTAAGCACATCTTGCAGTTAAAGGGTTAAGACATGTACAACAGACCCAGCAGTGCTAGTCTCCCCTCTACGAGGAACGAGCTTGTTGGGTTTCTTTATTTGACGGGACTCACCGACTTCGTTTAGATCTGCACCTTTAGTTACCACTTCTGATCTAGTTTAACAATGCATCCGTTTATTTTGCTTGCTCAGCAGAAAACACTTGAAACAGACTTCGGGAGTATTTTTTGTCTGGAGGCAACATATCCTGAGGAGGATGGAGGTCAGTCAGAAGTGACTCATCAGCAGAATAAATTTAGTTTAGTGTCAGAAGAAAGAATAAATGTTAAGCATTGAGCAGCAGTTAAAGAAGACCTGCTCTTATTATCTTTACAGGAACCAGTTTTCATTCGTTCAGATTGAGAGTAACTCATCGAGACTTTGGTTCTGCTCTCCTTCTTATAAGGCACCGGCATCATTTTAACCCCAATCATAAAGCTACTCCGTCTGTGAAACATCAGTTGACAATGCTAGCTGTAGTGTTTTTATTTTTTTAATTTTTCTCAGAAATGCACACAAGCCAGCACACAGTTCCCTAACGCTGCCCGACCCTGCAGTCGCTAGTTATTAAGTATAGAGTGAATTTGGGGACTCTCTTTTTTGACAGTATCTGTTTTCAGCTTGCCGGTTTTTTACTTTGACGTATCTTGCCATTTCTTGTGGAAGGCAGGACTAATGAGAAAGCCTCAATTTGTCTTCGCCATCATAATTTATCACTAAACTGTGGAAGAACATTTCTGCCAGGGGGTAAAAAAAAAGAAATAAAAAAAAAATTGGAATGAGTGAAATAAAAATGTCAAGTCAAATCATTTGACATTTTAAGACTTTGTTAGTCAAAGTGTTTAAAGTCAGAATTTTCATACAACATCAAAATTCTAATATAAATAACTAGATAATTATGAAATAGTATCTAATCATTTTGACTGGTCACAAATATTTTAATTATTCCAAACATTGTTTTCTTTCTGGCTTCCATACTTGACTCAATATTCAGGACCGCAGTGCGTCGCCTCCGGTAGAAATTTGTATTTTCTATAAACTCTCAGGAGCAAACTACACAATCGTCTCATTACACCTGAAAAATAGGAAAAAGATAGTCAACAACATTAAAATGTGATGACTGTTGCTGACTTTGTGACACGATCTTAAGAGGAATCAGCTCGAATAAACGCCTCAGATGACGCGGGAGATGAGGTTTGTTAGCTCCTAACTGACTATAAGATTTATTTATTCTTTGGCAAAAAAAAAATTCTTTAGCAGCGAGAGCACCTTAATGTATATGTATATATATTTTTTTTTACATTTTTCTTTTTACATATTTCATTGGCATCTGTTTTCAAATTGCCCATCCAGTCACAGCGGTGAGAGACACGCTTTCTGTGAGATAATAAAATCTGTGGCCGACACACAAAATGCATCAGGATTGCATAATTTATATCATTCAACTTGTCGAAAGTATAATCTGGTCTTTACTGCCACTTCAGCATCACTGACCCAAACACACTGAGTGTGAGTGCAGCTTCATTTACGTATATGAATCTTGGTTTCAGTTTATTCAGCTGGAGTCACTGAACAAGTGTAAAAGCAGTTTCCTCCATCTGCTCTTACAAACTGACACAGCACAGAATAAAATCCTCTTTTTGAAGTTACTTTTAGACCATATTTAATTAAATTACACTACTTTTGCACCATGGATTTATTTAATCCTTTTTTTTTTTCCTTCAAGGATGTATGGATATTTCTCAAGTGCATTTCTTGTGTTGCTGCTGCCAAGTGAAAACTTTCCACAGAGTAAGGAGTGAGGAAAGTGGTATTGCGTTGAGCTCAAGTTTTCACAGAAGTATCAAAGGGTTTTACTACAACAGCTCATCTGTGCCAGGAAAATACAACATAGAACAGATAAAATGTTAGAAATGAGAGATATTCAGGATATTCTTTTGTCAAAATTATCAAATAAAAGTCAAACTTTGTTTTCAAATTTTGTCTAAGTCACTATTATTTATCAAAGTTTAAAAAATGTTTTTAAATCTCATAATAGTTCATTACTTCCTCTTAGTATCTCATAATTTTGACTTAAGTCATAAGTTTGATTTAATTCAAAATTTCCACTTGAGCGCTCACGATTTTGACTCTCCATCTCTTCACTTTGATTTACCATGAGTATTTTTGACATTTCTAACTTTTCATCTGTTCATTTTTTTTTTCAGTCTTGGCAGAAACGGGCCTCCACAGTTTCACAGTCCAGCGGGCCGAAGACTTTCCTCAACCCGCGGAGGAGCTCAGAATCAGGTAGTTGAAATAAAAACAGGTTTTCACACAATAGCGACACACAACTTTTGGACTTAGTCTTCAGAAAAATACAAATATAATGACAACCTGCACCAGAGACATTTCTGAATATGGATACAGGGATGTGATTTGCTCCTGGGCCCACGAGACAAGAGATGTTTACTGCATTGACAGTTATTACAGGCTCGCTGGTGCTTAATGCTGTGTGTGTTTTTATGGACAACATTTTAGTAAAATTGAATCATAAAGCACTGCTTGGCTCTGCTCGCTTCAGTTTGTTTGCATAAAGGTGTCTCTGTGTGTGTGTCTCTGTGTGTGTGCCTCTGTGTGTGTGTGTGTGTGTGTGTGTGAGAGAGAGAAGGGCACACTGGCCCAGTTAGCGATGAAGTGCACTTCTTTTAAAAAACTTTTTTTTTTTTTTTTTTTTTTTTGTTTAAATGGATGAAAGCTCCAGTCAGTTCTGCCTGCAGCAGTCCATCGTCAAATTAAAAAAGTAAAAATTAAAAACATCAAGAGGTAAAAATGCTGAGGGTCAAAGGTCAGCTGGGGTCATCTTCCTGCTCTTACTTCCACAGTGATGACAATCCTTCTGCACACAGGTTCACCACGGGCTCAGATGGACTTTCGTTGATGCTCGACGCTCTTATCTTTGTTTAATAATGTCTCTGTGATAAAAAAAAACAAAACATCCTCACATCGTTTAAACGAGGAGTTTACGACGAGCAGCTGCGGCCTGCTCCAGCTGGTCTCAATACCACCTGATCACTGAGACATGAGCGTCACGCTTGGTCCACCGAGCCACCGCAGTAGCAGTTTGGTTGGGATAGGGGTGGGGTGTAAATATAACTGAATTTGGATATTTTTTGGGGGGGGAAATGCAAGATGCAATGTGCTTTCATGGTTAGAGCAAACTAGGGGTCCTCGAACTGGAACCCAGGCTGAGTAAACAGGGGCCCCTGAACCTGGGAGCCAACTGGGAGGAGGCCCACTACCCCCCAAACTTTAAAACAAGCTCAAACTGGGGTTGGAGTTGCAGACAGGAGGTTAAAGGTCAGGGTGTGGAGGGCTTGTGGAGGATGCCCTGAAGGTCCTCTGGTAGGGCCAGGATGACGGCATCGATATGGGCCCTCAGTTTGGGAAGGGTCCCCGGACGCACCGGGAGCTGCTCCCTCTCCGCCTGACTCTGCAGCAAAGAGCATCGTGAGCCGGAGCACATTCACCAACGTTCACATTATCAGAGTCTGTGCGGGGTTTCTGCAGCGTTCACTGAGCTACATGCAAGACCTTTTTTAAAACCACACAGAATAAAATTTAATGCCCATTTCACCATGGTGGAAAACCGACAGGATGATACCATTTTTCTTTATTATATCATATTTCAGCGCTTCCCAGTAGGATTTACCAAGTAGTAGAAGTAGTATTAGCAGTATAAACTGTAGTAGTCATCGTTTGAGCCTTGGATGAGTTCGTACTTACCAGTTTATCCTTCAGCTTCAGAACCAGATCCACCGTCTCCACCTCTGTGTGCTTCTGGATCCTCTGCTGCAGATCCTACAGACGGATACAGACGGACAGAGGATAAGAGAGACAGAAAGGACACCCTGATGTTTTCATTTCTGAAGAGAGCTTTAAACATCTCACCTCCTCACACAGCGCCTCGAGGTGCAGAGCCTCCAGTTTCTGGGTCATCTCTCGCCTCCTGTTGCGGAACCAGCCGTCAAAGTTGGGAGACTTGAGGAAATGCCTTAAGACGCAGAGAGAACCACACAGGAGTCCACATGATGCTCTGCATTGTGTGCATTTCCAGTGTGTGTGTGTGTGTGTGTGTGTGTGTGTGTGTTTGTGTGTGTGTCTACCTGTAAAGTCCTATCCAGTCTCCTTTCAGTCTGGATGTGAGCTGAGGTCCAGCTTTCTCCAGTGTCTTCATGAAGTCCTGCTGGATGAACGGTCGGAGCTGAGGAGGACTCTTCCAGGGACTGATGGACTTCTGCAGAGGCATCAGACTGGCCACGTACCGCTCCTGTAACACACGAGCGTGGTTCAGTGATACAGTTCAAACCAGCAGGGCCCCAAGATACCCAATAATAAAGTATCTATCTATCTATCTATCAATCCATGTGACAGTGCATTAAAAACACCACTGTCCTTGTTCCTGACATATTTTATCAAAAAGTTGTGAGTGAGACATAAACAAGACAAAATCTACACAGCACCATGTCACGATGAAACAATGAAACCATCTCAAGGAACATAGAGAGATAAAAAGAAGCTGTTACCAGTGGAATGATGAAGCTCTGTGTCAGTTCTAAGAAGTAGCGTCGAAGAATTGCATTTTGGGCCGCTGAAGGTCTCTTTTGTTGAACACCCTGAGAATCAAGTAAAATAAACAAAAACAAACATCACCTTTACACTTTGTTTGTCTGGTTCTAGAGCCAGACTGAGCCTGACCAAGATGATCAGTAGACTTCTGCTTATTAGAATCAGAATCGGAAACAGAACCAGGTTTATTGTCAAGTAGGTTTTCAGCATACAAGGAATTTGCTTTGGTGTTTTGGTGCATAACAACATGGAAAACAAAGGAAGCAAAATATAAAAAAAGCTGCAGGTCAGAGATCTTAAATATAAATAGAAGAATTTAACAATTAGATCAAATATTTACAATAAAAAATGTGAAAAAATATTATAGAAAAATATAAATATACGGCTGAACACGGCTGGTAATCGAGGAGAGATCTAGTCTTACCTTCTGAAGCTGTTTGATGATTTCTTCATCTTTGTTTAGATACGGTTTATATGCAGTGTACACACCTGCAACACACACACACACACACACACACACACACACACACACACACACACACACACACACACACACACACAGATCAGATAACAGAAGCTGATCTGACAGCTCCCCCTGGTGGAGAATCTGCTGCCTCATAAACGTAAGTGTTCAGTTTGTGAGCGAGTTGCAGGCCTGTTCTCAACAACATAATTACACCAAAATATAAAGACACGAATGAAGAGTATGAAGCATTTACCAGGTTTAGAGTCCAGAGTTTTGAGGTTTTTCAGTTTCTTCACTTTCATCTGCTTCGCCATCTCACCTGAGAAGAACGGACGGACGGAGAGAGGAAAAATCAGACAGACAATTCAGAGTTTTTACAATGTCTTACCTGACATCTGACTTACAGCTGTACAGTAATTCAACACGGGTGTGGGCAGCATACGCTTATTTATATCATATATATGTTTCATTTTGGATGGTAACGGTATATAGACAGAGTAACCAGAGAGCTAGAAGCCTCTGTACACTGTAATGTAATGTAGGCAGTACACCGTTGTCTCAAATATCATTGTTTACCGTCTCCCTTCATTCAAACTAAAAGTCCTAGACCCAACCAGGAAAAAACCAGGGCTGCCACTGAAAAGTTGATGAGTAAATGCATCAGTTTGAAAGACATTAACTCACATTTTGTGAGTCAAATCAAAGCGTGGCTCTAGAATACACAAAAGTATCTGGACGTTGGCGTTGTCCACATACTTTCGGCCGTAGAGTGTGAATCTGAGGTCATTTCTGAGGCTGAAGTTACTGCTGTAGTGGACTGCGCTGTATTTGTCTTTTAATCAATGCAGATTTGACTTGAAGTGGACGAGCAGCAGCATCATCTACCTGCTTGCTTCATGTCTCCGATGCGGATGATGTGCGGCCAGTGCTGAAGAGTTTTAGCAAAAAAAGGATTGGTCACTCCTAGAATGACCGATGGCCTGTAGAGAGAGAACAGAGAGGCGAATCACAGGTGACTACAACATTTAACTCAGGCAAACACCGACAAATCTCTAAGAACAAGGACTCGGGTTCAAACAGCAAACCTCCAACCTGAAGAGTCCCCGAGCAAGACGCTGAATTCTTGCTACCTTAAACCTTTCAGTAGGTGGAGAACAATAACGGGTGGAGAGATCAAATGTGTCGCCATAGCCTCATGGTCTAAGGCAGTGACAGAGTCAATGCATGTTACACACGGTCACATGAGAATAATGTGTAGGACACACTTCAAAACACCTGTGCCTGTTGTTTTCCATCGAAGCCTGCACATTAGTGGCATCTTGACATTTTCCAGCGCTGATAAAAAAAAAAAAAAGTCAACACTCTGGAAAATCAGCAATCCTATCACAGACTAGATCAAAACATCCCAACAACTTCTTCTGCCCGCAGAGAGCATCCAGTGCAGGCAGGCAGTACAGGTGTCAGATGACAAATCACTGCGAAACACAGACAGTGTGTGTTGAACGCTGAAGCTCTTAGAGATCAGACTTAAAACAAGCTCAAAAACCCAGGACCAGCAGGAATCGCACAAGGCTGTTAAAGTACAGAGACACTCCCGCCTCCTCTTGACCATGGCTCAAGTGCTGCTACGCAACTGAGCAACTAAGCAAAGCAGATGGGAAGTCAGTGCCTTGCTCAAGGGCAACACGGTAGCTGCTGTGCTGGTTCATCTTTACTCACGGAGCCTGCGTCCTGGTGGTGTACTCCTTGAATTCACTGTCGTGGATGGTGAAGTACGGCCGGAAGTCACTGCAGTAACGTAGAGGAGAGATGCAGCTGCAGAGAGAGAGAGAGAGAGAGAGAGAGAGAGAGAGAGAGAGAGAGAGAGAGAGAGAGAGAGAGAGAAAAACAGAGTGATATTAATGTTTGAAGCCTGATCCACTCCCATGTGGCTGCATGACCCTCTGATGAGCAGAAAGACCTTGACACAGCATTTCTAAATCCTTCAAAGTCCCTCGCAAATTATTTTAATCAGCCCATTTGCTCGCTGTAGGACTTTCATCTCCTTCCAGTACTAACCAACCAACGCTACAGGATGACTGGACAAGGAGCTGCTCTAGCTTCACAGCCGGTCACAGCACAGTCAGTGACCTGCCTTCTGTCTCCACAACACTGAGAGTGAACATGTATATGTAAGAGAGTGTAGGACTGGGAGAGGCCACAACAATATGATCTTAATTTGATCCAACTGAACATCGGATGCCTCTTAAATCAATGTATTTGCAAGTGAAACCTAAACATTTTAAATAGGATAATACAATTAATGTCGTCACTGAAAGAAAAAATGAAAATAAAACACATGACATATCACATGTCTGTATTTATATAACTAGTCTGTGTCTGAGTTAATTTCCTACCAAATGGTTCACCATGAGAAAACAATACATTCATTCACATCCTTTACAACTGAATTCAAGGTGTGAAATTAAATGTATTAAAGACATATTTCTAGACATTCTGAGTCTTTTCCAGAATTTAAAGACAGAAATTCAGATTACATCTTCAATTATATTAAAATTTACTTTAAATATGCTGCAAAATGTCAAGCTGTGAAATACAGGTTGACCTAATTATTCTGTTCCTTCTGGCACAATGACCTGTCCCTAACCCCTCCGACTCACCTGACCAGTGCCAGCACAGTATCTGATGACTCTGCCGGTGACGGCGCCATCACGACAAGTGCCTCCCCCAGCAACACCAACTCCCACAGCATCTGGATGTGGAAGAAGACCGGGTAGAAACACCTGGAGAGGGAAGATGAATATGTAGAGTTCAGAATGTGTATATAACACAGTTTCCTTTCCTGCCAAAAAAGGGTTTTCAAAGGATATTTGTACATATTCTACTTGCTTGCGCAATATTCATCTCTCGTCTCCTTGGGTTGATTTTTTACAAAGTATAGAAATTACCTGAAACACACGAGTGCGTGGAAGGTAGAAAACACCTCCAACAGTACGAAAAACTGATGTCGACTTTGGAAAATGTTAAGACATTCACAGACTAGGGCTAAAACATTTGGTCCTTTACAAAGCCAAAGCACACGATACTGACAGAACAAATACTTGTTTAAAATGCATTTTTTGTGTTTTTGCTGAATGTCCTTTTTGGACCGGGGAGCATCTGCAGGCATAACAAACTGATGAGGAGAGTTTCCTTATTCATCATTACTGGACCGTTCCACACATTTTGAACAAGCAGGTGTTTTTCTGTTTCCAAATACTCCTGACAGGGTCAAACTGCTCTGGTAGTTCGCTTTATGCTGCTCATGTTTTTATCTGGTTTTATTCTTGTCTTTTTGTTCAGGTCCTTGAGGAGGTGCCCGTGATCAAGGACAAAATAACCACACGGACCTGAACATGAGCAGGAGGCGGTTATTCTTCTTCTTTTGTACAGAATACAGAATATGCAAATTAGCACAACAGGGTGACAGTACTACAGCAAGAACCAGTAAGACTGACCTTTTTAAAATTTCCATGACTATTCATGATGGTCAGACTGACCCTGTGGGTGAGTTCTGTGAATAAGTTCACTGACTGTACAAGTTTTAGAAATACAAACTGAATACTGCAAAGAAGGTTGGGCTTTATTTTGTCCCATCACCAGTTTTGGCAGATAATCGTTTGGAGGGAAGGTTTTGTTCTCCTGGTGTCACCAGGTAAAACCGTCCTGCCAGTACCACGCCTGAACAGCAGGTTGCGACAGGATATGACACATGCGTGTGTATTGTGGAGAAGGGCAACACCATGACCTGCAAGTCTCACCTAAAGAGGTCGACTTCATGGATGGTTGGGAGCACGATGGACACCAGACTGTCACTCTGAAAAACAAACACACTCACTTTTTAGCTGAAATAATCAGGTGTTCAAGGTATGTTCACACACTTCAGTCAGAAATTAATACAAAATGCCAAATGTGTAAAAAAGATCTCATTCACTTAGAAAAAACAAATATATAAATGGAAAACAGCTTCTTATGAAACAAAATAGCTTCTTTGTGTGTGTGTACGCATGTGTCTGTGATGTTGTGTGTCATCACCTGGGCGGACTGCACCAGCTGTGAAGTTCCTGGTTTGTCGTAGCAGGTCGGGATTCGAACCTGCAGCAGCACACAGATTCAACACAGTCACAGTTCAGACGCTCGTCACAAACCAGTTGAACACTGACAAGATTTCTCCTGCTTCTGTCTGCACTTCAGAGTATCAACTCCACACTGCTTCTGTTTGCTTTAATCAGAGATCGGATGGTCGTGTACGTGTCATAGTTGTTTTTGAATCGATGCGTCTTCGCACACGGACAGAACATGATTACGGAAATAAAACAGCTCCTCAGTCACAGTACTTTTTCAGTTTTAGATTCAGCAGTATCTCACAATAATTCATGAATCATTCATTTACACCTTTGCAGGTGATGAGCTTCCAAGTTACTGTTGATAGCAGGTGACTGAACCTCCACTACCCACGGCTGCCAGTGGTGACACAATCCTTAATCTTCATATTATTAATTACATATCTTCATATTCACTGCCTGTTTTCTTGCAACTCTTCAAACATTAATTGAGCAATTTCATTAACAGTTTTTTAATTTAATGGCTTGGTGGGATTATGAACTGCACTAAAGTGCTCCTGTAACGTGGTGGTCTGTATGTTAGTGTCACAGCTGTCGCAGTAGGATTCTGTCTGTTATCATTCACAGTGTATAGGTGAGCAAACTAGTTCTCCCTCTGGTGATTAACAAAGTTATTTAACTAACACACACAGACAGTTTGTACTTTGACACCCGACTGCACTGAAACGTCTGACCCCTGCCTGTAACTGTGCATGTGTGTGTGAGTTTACCTTTATGACCACGCCCATAATAGGCAGCGTCAGGATTCGTCCGGGATGGGGTGTCGGCCAGCGGTCTATGTCATTACAAGCTGTCAATCAAATACACGAACAAGAGCGATCTGAATCAGCATCCACTTTATACTGATTAAAACTAAATGTCTGTTTGTGGATAAACTGTTAAAGATGCCACCTGAAATACAGGTGGCATCTTATAACTCCAGCAAAGATAGGTACATAAAGACAGGAAGGAGACAAACAGACAGGTAGAGACAAAGAGACAGACAGGTAGAGACAGATAATCAGACTGACCGGCTTCCAGACAGGGCTCCTGTTTCTCAAAGTATTCTGGAGCCATGATCTTCAACAGCGAGTGGAAGAAGGTCACATAGGGCAGTTTACTGATCAGGACCAGAGACTGGTGGAGAGACAGAGAGAGAAATCTGTATTCACAACACTGTCATATGAAAAGACATCAGTATTCCCTGTTAAAGCTGTGAGCGCTGAACTGCTCTGTTCATCTGTCAGCCCGACAGATTTGATCATTAGAAACATACTGTCACTAGAGCTGCAACTAATTATCATTTTCCTTGTGACTGTGACTGTGAGATGTCAGAAAATACTGCAAAATGTTCATCACAGTTTCCCAGAGCTCAAGGTGACAAGATTCAATGTGAATATCAAATGCATAAAAAAGATAAATCATAAATAATAATATAATTTGTACAAGCAGATATTTAAATATAGTACAAAATAGCAGATACGTAATATTGCACAGTTGTTGTATGTTAATTATTGCAGATGTGGGTTTGTCAGTTTTTGCTGGACGACCCTCAGATCTCCAACATATTCTGTTTACAATGACACAAAACAGAGAAAAGCAGCAAATTCTCACTGTTGAGCAGGTGAGCTAATACACGCTAATACAGTGTATTAGTACTCATATTCAGTAGTATTTCAGAGACAATGAAGCCGAACTGCAGTGACCCTGCAGCCTGACACTGACCTTCTGGAAGTATCCTCTCTTCAGAGATTTGTCTCGCACCTGACGGAAGTACACATAACCGTAGTAATGTCCCTGTTCCCTCTGCAAAACACACACACACACACACACACACACACACACACACACACACACACACACACACACACACACACACACACACACAGAATCAGAATTGAGTTTTATATCACTAAAGCAGACAATCCAGATGTAGGTCATCAAGCTGGTTCAACCATGGGCCAGTTTTTTCCATCAGTGTTCAATGAGGGAGGCAACTTTTACAGCCGTGGTGAGATGCGTAAGAATATTTTATGTTTGAGTATTTGATTTCTCTTAAGAAGAAAACAGGAAATTGATGTTTTAGGATTGTATCCGAGGGCAGATTTCCCCTTCAGTTAGTTCGCTGGCGCCAACACCGTTGCAGCAGCTTATGTTACTGTAAAACTCTTTTGGATACAAAAAATGATTCATATAAAAAAACAAAAGACATTTGTGTTGTACTACGAGATTTAACATGTAATTGATGGTTATCCACAGACAATAAACAGTGACCTATTCCATTATTGGTTGAATGAAAATGTTATTGTTGTCTAAGAACATTTTGTCTTTTATGCTGCTTATTAGTGGTTGAGATGCAAATCATTGATTATATTTTTTGTTTTTAAAAAAAGCAAGTGTGTGTGTGTGTGTGTGTGTGTGTGTGTGTGTGTGTGTGTGTGTGTCTTTCCCAACCTTCAGACAGGGTGGTGCGTCTCGGTCGGTGGTCTCCAGGAAGCAGCCGAGCGATGACTTCCTGTTGGAACCCTGACGGAAGCGGAAGCAGAACTGGGTGTCGCCAAGGCAACCTGGAAACACAGGAGTGATGATGTGGTTACCATGGAAACACTGCCAGGTTTAATCCTTTTGTTGAAACCGACAGGAACAATAGGCTTTCAACAGACTCATAAACAAAAATTAATAGTTGTTGTTAGAAGTTGTTCCAGGAAGCAGGTTTCGTGAAAACTAAACCTCCGTTACTGTGCTAACATATTCTGTGAAGCTAACCTGCTCTTCAACAAACCCAGAGTTTCCATGATTGTAGTGCGCCTGAAAATAATTGTAGTAGTTTACATGTAGTTTAAAAATTAGTCTTTGAATAAAAGCTTAATGCAGTCTTAACTACTTTTCAGTTACTCTGTTTAAATTTACTGCATGTTGAAATACATTAAATGCTGTTGATCAAGATTTTTAAACATTTTCTGCTGCCTGTGGTGGTCCGGCTGAATAAATATATTTAATAATTAACACGTAACATACAGTAGGATTCCAGCACTTTATCCTAAATTAAGGAAATTCAAGTCTGATAGGAAGTCTGATAAATGCTGAACAAGTGAATTACACTGAATAAAATGTGAGAGTGTTAAATTATTGACTCTGTTTCCATTCCAACTCCACTGGATTAAAATGGAGGCTCTGCTCTTTATTTATCTGTTGCCATGGTCAATCCTAGTCTCCAAGCTCCATTGATGATGGATTTTTTTCATTCACCAGGCATGCACTGAGAGTTGACTGAACTAACTCTGATCAGCTGAGTTTCCCATCTCAGTCAACTCTGAGTTAAGGGTTCGGTTCAGAGTTTGTTAGTCCTGCTTTCTGGAACAGGCCCCCAGTTTTACTCAAATCACACCATGTCATGAATCTTTCATAGGGTTAAAGGGTCAATACGCTTAATGTGAATAGTTCACTAAAGCATAATAACCAATAAATACCGGAGCCAACTAGAGCCTAAACTCTTCTCCCATTAAGTAGAAAGGGACACAACCAAACTTTGATGCTCGTGTTTGCTGGTTTACCATATGGACTGCTTCTTAGGTAATGGAACATTTTATATCAGCTTTCCATGATCTAATCTTTTATAAACTTTGTATAATCTATCCTTTACCTATATACTTTTTTTTTTGCAGTATTCAAAGGCTACAGCTCTGTAAACCACATCAATGACAACTGCCACTCAAATAACTCCTTTTACTGCTACTCAACATGCTTCACATGCAAAAGTCTAACTGTAGAAAATGTGTATTTCAAAAAAAGGGCATGTCATGTCAAGTGGCTCTTCAGTGTCTTCCTGGTGTCCTCCGAACTTTTGGATAAACAGGAAGAGGAAACAGGGAAGAAAAGCGGAAATAGGAAGTACACGATGAGTCATCGGCCGGCCTTTAACCTCCTCGTGACCTCCGCACATACTTCAGCAGACACGCCAGAGGAGAGCGGGCGTGCGAGAAGAGAAAATGAGGTAATGGTAATCAGAGTTCAGGACAAGACACAAACACTTCAACTCACACTCAGAATGCAAGTTGTGTGTGTGTGTGTGTGCGCGTGTCTCACTTCATTCATAGGACACAAACACACACATATACACACACACACACACTTCAAGCACTCAGCCAAGACTCCATGACATCATGCAGTTGTGTTGCGTTTGAGACCACCCAGTACGAAACAGGACATCAGCAGCTGAGCCACAACTCTCGTTCTCAGTCTGGACTGACGTAACAGACTCTGGATTCTCTTCATTTTATTTGTGTTTTTGTTTCTATTTACCTTAATCAGAGTATGTGAGACACTGGATCTGAGCCTGTGACCCTGCCAGCACTGTCTCATTAGCAAAAAAGAACAAATCACAATCAGTGAAATTTAGTTTCTCACAGATGGAAAAGGAGCTATGGCCTTATTTTCATCAATCACAAGATGTCTGATGTGTTAATAAAGTGCCTGAGGGGCTGGAAAATTTATCTTATCATTTTCATGACGACAAATTTTGTACTTTTGAATTATAGCAATTTCCATATTGCATTATTGTTTTCATTTTGGACTAATCAGCAGATTATATTCCTGTTTAACTGATCCATCAATTGTCCTATAAAATGTCAGAAATGTCACAGAGCCCACAGTGATTTCTTCAGTTATCTTGTTTTAGACACTCAGTTTACTATCATGACATCACAGACAAAAGTAGCAACAAATGTTCACACATGAGAAGCTCAATTGTCGCCAATTTGTTTTCTATCAATCAACTAATTGATTAATCAACTACCTGTTTCAGCAGTTTGCATTTTGCTTTTTGAATACCTGCCAGTGCCTGGCCTCTTTTAAAACTGCATTAGTAGATTTCTTTCTAAGAGACAGAAAAGACTCAAAGAGCTGGTGAAAACACAGGGCGGGTTCACCAATACAAGTAAATACAATACAATCTTTTACATTTGATCCTCACTGCGCGCAGCTTTAAATATCTGTAGAGTAGAAGCATGTCTTATTGATTATGTTCAAGTGCAGCATAACTGTAGTGTTTTGTTACAAATGACAGATATATCTTTCACATCATCTGGGCTGTGACCATTTTAAGACCAATTTTTAATTCTATTTCTGTCCCTGGTTTGGCCGTATCTCTCCATCTAAAACTGGTGGTACATCTGCTCCTCTCTATATCTGATGTAAAAAGCCTCAGAATAAAGGTGAGAGTCAGCACTTTCACATCACACTCACTGCTTCATTTGAAAACCTGCGTGCTGCAATGCAGAGACAACATGCCTAATCATGTGTCAGTAGTACTACTTTCTGAATTCTCAAAGTGGATTAAAGGCAAATGATGCCAACTCTGATCAAGATGTGAGACTGCATTACGGGAGACACTGAGAGCGAGAGAGCTACAGATCTACAGTGTAATGTCTCTCGCTCTCTGACACACACCTACAGTATATATATATATATAGAGCAGCCCTGTAAGCATCTTGTTCTAATCCTGTCTTCATCCTGAGAGCAGCAGGTTCATCAGCTTCACCGCCTGCTGAGTCACAGTCAACAAAAAAAACACACACCTGCAGGCAGACACACGCACTTGATTCACACACTCAATTCCAGAGAGGTCTATGCATGAGTGCGCGTGCAAATCAATTCATACCCCTGTTTATCATCAGCCTAGTGTTACACTAATTAAAGTGTCTAAAAATGGTTGCGCTAGCTCATTTTTTCTGGGCTCTTTTCTTTTGGCAACATAACAACAAAAAACGATTTTCAAAATGGTCCCTGATTGTAACTGCTGGGCAGAACAATTATAGTCAGACAAAACTTAAACAACAATCAGTCAACAGAGAGCCAAAGTCAAAACAAAGCTTCCAGATTGTGTTCCAGAGAGGAGAAAACCTAATTCAGAATCACTATGGCAATTGTAATATTACAAATTATTTTTAAAAATCCAGCCCTAGAGGCCTACACACCTACACACCTACACACCTACACACCTACACACCTACACACCCAAGGCCGTCAAAGGGATAAAAGTGACCAGCATGACAGTCTGAAACCACCTTTCTGATGATGGGGTTGGGTCTCTTTTTGTAACTTTCTGAGACTGACGAACACATCCACATGAAAGTCATTGGCCTTCTGTGTGGAGGTGTGAAAGTAGGCAGGGTTTGAACTTCTGTCTCCTGCTCTTATTCTTAATTCTTCACACAACTACTTCTTGTGACAGTTTATATGTACACTAGAGTGCAACACCATGTGTGTCTTTGAGGAGAGACTGCCTGAGAGAGCGCATCATTATCCCCATTTGTATAATTCATTGCAGCTCACCCCTCTGTGACAGCAGGTTCAAATGTTCAGTTTTTTTACAAAACTGTTTTAAAGCAGTGTCGACTTTATGTTCATTTTGGAGGATGTAGTTTGTGGTTCTGTTTAACTGTGATGTGTTATACTGCGAGGTGTTTCTAAAACCAACAATCCAACATTCACACCCACCTCACACTGTGACTGGCCAAGAGTGTGGAGGTGAGAAAGTAAGCAAGGATTTATCTTCTCGTTGTAGTTCTGTTTTTTTCATTCTTTACACAATTATTTCTGTCCCCGTCTGTTCTGAACATCTGAGTTCAAAACTATGAATGCCATCCAGGAAGACTGTCTGAAAACTTTATCTCCATATTTAACAATTACGGCATCTCACCCTTCCTACGGCAGCTGATTTTTCACTGCGCTATCAAGCATGGCCGATCAGAAAAATCTTAAAAACTTGACCGAGATGGTCAGACAACACGATGTCTTCTCAAGCATAACCCGGCCCTTAATCTGACACATCACCATGTTTCGCTGCATTCAAAGATGTCAGAACAAAGTTTAAAAGGCTGAAACAGGAACTCACCTGAGTTTGAGTCCGGAAAGGAAAGGTAGCAGATGCTTGTTTTCTGAAAGAAAACAGGAACAAGATTATATTTTTTTGTTTTTAATCTCTTTATCATGTAATTTTAGGTTGATTCTGTTAATACACACACCCAACACTGACACACAACAAACAGCAAACAGCAGGAGATCAATGATCATCATTACAATGACCGAACATGACAATTTTTTTTAAATAATCTACCAAACTCTCCCACTTTTACAGCTCAGGTCTTACAGGATTTAGTGAACTTGTCCATCAAAATGTGATTATATACAGAATATAAATATCTTAAAGTCAGTTTGACTCACCTCTTTCTCTGACAGTTTGGAATGATGAGGATAAATGACCTGGAAAAAAAAGGAAGAGATTTAGCACACGGCAGGAGCTCATCCAGCTCATCACAGGTTTTTTTCAAACATCTTTACCAACATTTATGTGTCTCTTCAATCACAATCACTGAATCTATTACTGTCTGTAAATCCTATCCGTCATTTTATTGCACTTGATAATGTTAGAGTTTGCAGTCCCTGTACTACAACAGGCCAAATGTTTAAATTTTGTGATATCTTCTTAAAACTTGTTAATTAATTACTTATAGCTGAAACCTATTTTTCAGTAAAACAGGAAAGTACAGTTTAGATGTTGGTCAAGGCAGATGGCTGCCAACCATGAGTCCGGTTCTGCTCAATGTTTCCACCTCTTAAAAAGGAAGTTTTTCCTTACTGTCGCCTCTTGGTAGGAATTGTTGAATCTCTGTAAATAATATTATATAGAGAAGGTCTAGACCTGATCTATTTGAAAAGTGCCTTGAGATAACTTCTGTTGTGAATTTGCACTATACAAATAAAATTGACTAGACTTGATATAAACTGATTTTAAGTGATAAGTGCACTGTATATTTTAGCAACAATTATTTATTTATATAATATTTACAGAGAGTTATTAACTGATATGTGTCTGTGGCACAGAATACTGAAAACTGTCATTTGTGGTCTTTATTCATTAATCTGATTATTAATATAACTGGTTTAAATCAACATTTTGCCAATTTCAGACTGTATTATATGGAAGAAATATATAGTATTTAGTCAACATGGAACATTGAGAACTTTGGCTTCTTTTGTTAAATGAAAAAGAGTCTTGTAGAAAAACATGTTTATATTCCTCTAATAAAGGTCCTAAAAAAATCATTTCTGACACCAGTATCAAATAGCCTACCATTTTTACCATGGCAATAATTGTAATGGAATTTAGAATAACAACAAATCAACAAATTAGTCGATCGTCAGATAAAGGAATAGCAAAAGTCATGCTTCTTAAATGTTTCCTGTTTTCTTACTCTGCTATGATTGTAACCTGAATATCTTTGAACTGCCGGACTAGTCTAACAAAGCAGTATATTTGTAATTGTCCCAATGGGATCTGGGTACTTGTGATGGATAATTTTTTAGAATTCTGTGCTATTTTATAGAGGTAACAATTAATCGGTTTATCAAAACAATTATCAGTGGATTAATCAATAATGAAAATAATAGTTAGAGGTGGTCCAAATTGAGTTTTAAATCTACAAGTACTATATCTAATTAGTAATATGACAAAATAACAGCAAGAGTCTGCAGTTTTGTGTTGCCCAGCTAAACATAGAATGTGAAACAGAAACACTTGCAGGAGTTTAAAAACAAATCGCTGTATAGGACCTTCTAAAAATATGCATTGCATTGCACTGCAATCAAAACTTGCTAGCAGGTTACTGATTAATGTCTGTATCCAAAACTCATGTGAGGACAACAGGTGTTTGCTCTGTTACCCTTGGTGGCTCCAGTGGGATTTAAACCCTCCAAACCAGAGGCGCTGTGTTCAACTCCCACAGTTTAAGGCCTGAAAAAGTTTAATGTGTGCATGTCTGAGGATGAGTTTCAGCAAAATGCCTCCATGTGAAGTAGAGGTATGGGTGATGCTGAGGCTGCTGTTGCAGACTAACTCGAGCGAAGGAAAAACACACACACTTCATCTTGGCTACAAAAAACAACATCAGGTCATGAACTCGCTATCCTGTTAAAAGTAAAAAGTGATATAATTCTATCATTCTGCTGTTATTGTTGTATTTGTATGTAAACATGCCAGCACTATTCGACCAAAGAATAATCAGTCAAACAGCTTCATGGAGAGGTTTGTGTGGTCCAGTCCAGGAAATAGTCTGAGCCGTGGATAACTGCTAACTTAGACATTTTAGCCACAGTGCAAAGGAGTTTTACATGACCCAGCTGTCCCGGGCGGCTACTTCTGCCTCACCTCCACCGCCTGTCCCAGCTCCAAGTCGAAGCCGACCACACAGATGCAGTGCAACCAGGCGGAGAAGCGGTCCCACGGTAGGAGGAGAGCCTCCTCCGGCTCTTCGTCGCCTCCAGGCCCGGGGGGCAGCGTTATCTCCTCGGCCGGGGAGATGCTACTAGCGTCCTGGTCGTCCAGATCCTCCGGCTCTTCGACCTGCTCCCCCAGCTCCTCCGGGCCTTGCAGAGCCATGCCGACGGCCCGACACGGACAATAACGTGCTCTGGGTTAACGGGTAACTGTTTTCTAAATAAGTTTACAATTATTTCTAGTTAGTGTCCCCTTCGGTCACAACAACAGAAGCAGCGGTACAGACAGTAGCCACTCTGCTAGCAATTAGCATAGCAACAGGAGCGTACGTACGTCGTGATGATGAACATGGAACGTCATCACGTAAGAACGTCCCTAGCACCGTTGTATTTAGATGAAAATAGACCTCCATAGCCTACGACAGACTGAGGAAAAGTTCTAAAGTGTTAACAAAAATAATAAAGAAAGAAAATACTCATGGGAAGTTAAAATTGTGATATACTTAGTCGCATTGTTTACTTTTACTGTACTTACTAATTAATATATAGGCAACTAAGTCAAACGTTTGACTTAGGTTAAAAATTATGAGTAAAAATTTCCTACTCTCAAATTAACATTATGAGACTAGACATCAAAATGTTGACACTTTCATTCAAAATTATAGAAACCATAATTTTGACTTATTTAAACAAGATACTGACATATGAAGCCATAATATTTAGAATTGTGAGATATTTAAGGAGTTTCGAGCTAGTAAATCAAAATGTTGGCTTTCTTGATAAAAAATAATGAGATATGCAGTCAAAATGTTGAGATAGTAGATTTGGCTTTCTTGATCAAAATTATTAGGTACATAGTGCTGGTTTTAAGATAGTAGCCAAAAGCTTAAGTCAAAATTCAAAAATTAACAAAACATGCGCCTGCTATATGCTTAGTGAATGACAATTTTGACTTCTTAAGTAAAAATTTATCTCCTTTGCTCAATCCCCATCCACTGAAGAAGCCTGTTAGATATAGTTGAGAGCACTGAAAAGAGGTAGTAGGTTGACCTTGATTTAAGATTTTTTTCTTCTGTTTTGTCTTGTTTTGGTCCAACTACATTTCATCAGAACTATAAACAACAATTAGAAGTTAAAATATATTCATTGTAAAGTAACCTTGTGTTTTGTCACAGACTGTTTGGGCCCAAATACTTGTAATTTTCAAAGTTATTCATATTTGCACCTGCTTCTGGAAGCAACATCAGTCCATCTTGCTGGATCTGTTCCCCTTCACATCCTGAACTCCGGGTAAAACTAACATCACTGAGGGAATTACTTATTCAGCCCGACTCTGAGTTTGAGTCAGGAGCAAGGCAGTAAATCAGCTTTATCTAAATCCTTTAATAGCTCCATCACTGAGAAAGCAGATGGATTTAACAGAGAGGGGGTGCTCACAGATGGAAGGGGGACACCCACTGTTGGCCCAAGTTGTGACACAAATCCATCTAACTATAGGTAAGCAGATAGAAGAGAAACAATGCTTTCATCGTCTGAGTGCACAAATCAATCAGATCTGTTTACCATAAATGTAACAATAGTATGCAAAATGACTAATACTGTATTAGAATGATATAAAATTAAATATAATACTAACTACTACTAAACTGAACTAACTGATACATTATCTTTAGATGTTTATAGTTATTGTTGTTTTTTATACCCTGGTCCTATGATATGATGAGATAAACAGTATTTAATTATAGAAGAAATTATACAAATGACAGTAATATTTTACATAGAGTAAAAACACATATATAAATAAAATATTTTGTGCAGAAATAATCACATACTAAACCGATAAACAACCAAATTGATGAACAAATGAGAATTAGATCATATCACATGATCTTCAGCTGGAGTTTCACAGTTGTCTAATTAGCTTTAATGTGGAAATGAATTAGTTGCAGCTGAAAAAAGTCAGACTTTCCCCTTAATAGTTAAAATATATATTAGATCAAATGCAGTATTCAATAAGACATAACTGGTTTTTGCATCATTAAACTTTAAAATGCAAAATACCTTTATTGCTGAACTAATAAAATTGATGATGCACTCAAAAGTAATGTTACAAAGTGTTTCATATGAAGCTGAGATAAATAGCAACAGTAAGATCAGCAAACAAAATAACATTGAACAAACCGCAGCATTTATAAAATGACTGAAAAGTGTTAACAGGGTCAAACTGGGCTAAGAAGCTAAACACAGTAAGATGCTGTTAAATCTCAAATAATAGTCAGACTGTTAGTGCAGTGACAGCTGGTCCCTAGTTGAATCTGCAGGAGGGCTGGGCAGGACTGCAGGGACTAGCACCAAGATCTACCATGACCATGACCAAGACCAAGACCAGGACTATAGGTTACAGTAAAGTTGAGAGACTTTCTGATTCTGGAACAAAGACAACCAACATATCATAACACTGTACAGGTCTGGTGTAGTTTACAGCTCGGTGGTTGATGTTGACAGTCTGTGTTAGTCCCTTAGTCCTTGTCTTGTCCTACACTCTGGTATATTTGGAACAGACTGATAATCAGTCTGATCCTGAAATGAATCCCGCATCAACCTTCAGGTTTCTCAGACCTGCCAAGACCTCTAACAGGACTACACACATTTATATACAAACATTTCAGTTTTCATAGTAAGTGTTGTGTTTACGGGACTAAATAAATGGTGATTATATGCCAGTGAGTTCCAGTTAAAAATCAAATAAATTGTATGATTTGTACAAATGTACAGGTGTAAATAATACTATAAAAACTTTATTTATTTTTAAAGCTATATTTACCTAATCTAATGTGATCCAGTCTCATCCAAACTATGTGATCAGTTTTCCAAATGGGGGCGCTATAGCAACCATCTGAGACTTAAAACTCCATTTTGTGAAAAACCTTTAACATAAGGGTCAGTTCTTTCAAATGTAGCTATCTATCAATGTATAATAAAACTTTGAGATAACTTTTTATCCCTTCCACAGTTTAATAGATTGGTCACAGTTCAGCTACTTAAGGCCACAATCCTTATTTTTTATTCATTTCAAAATCTTACCACATATTTTTGGATTGTTCAGACACCTGATAGGCACAAAGGCTGAGAACACTTTGCATAGACAGACAAAACTGCGAACACTGACTTTAAATTATGAATGTTTTTTTTTTGTCATTTCTCCTGTTAAGTGATGACCAAATTAAACAAAATGAGCAGCACTAATGCCTTGTGGTGTTTTATCCTCTCCTACTTAACTATTCTATTGTCTCATCCAGCATTGATTTGGTCTCAGCTGTCAGTTCACCAGAACACAGCAGGGACGTTTCTGGAGTCATAAGCAGAATTTGAACCCCTCCCATGTCACCCCACACCACCCTGCTGTACCAGTCTTTAAATCAAGTCACCTGGATAAAAACCTTATGATGGAACTGATTCTCATTCTGTGTTCAATATACTGCAAGTGATACTGAAAAGTTACATTGGTGGTTTTAAGAATGTGGTCTACTGAAAGGTAATGTAAAACAACAGGTAGCTGATAGAAAACCAGTTTAAACATACTTGCTGAGTTTAAGGCTAAGGAGCCCCAACTCCCCAAATGCCCTTTTCTTTTAAACCCAACAATAATCAAAATCACAGGATTGTTGTATCCCAATGGAAAAACCAATATGTTTTTGTTGGTTTGTTGTTAGGTTTTTATTAGCTTTTTTTTTTTTTTTTTTTACTGTATATGTGTTTGGAATTATGACTTTATACCATACAGCTAAAAAATACAGGATAAAAAGTGTTCTTTTATTGTCATACTGTGGAGGAATCTTCACTCTGTCATCACACCAGTCTGGTTTAGGCTGGGAGTAAATAAATAATAATCTTTTTTTGTGATTGTATCATTTAGCCTACTTTTGTTTATTTTGAAAAATCACAGTAATGTTTCTGTAATATTGCACTGCTTTGACATTTGTAATATATCCAATTATACATTGAAATACAAACTTTACATTTTTTGTTGCTCTAAGAAAAGCTAAAGTGTGCATAATTTACTGTTACTGGTTGCCCATGATACAGGCCTATTGGCCATTATATATATTGTTGACTATAGACCAAAATCTGCTACATTTTCAGTTACTATATTAATTGTATTGCATGGACCCTCGGGCAGACACACAGGAGTTTACGCCATACCATTTGGTTTTACACAATTTGATGAACTGAAAATTTGTTAAAAAATTTGCACCACTGAAGTACATTATATCCATCCAATTCCACTCTCCATCTTGTAATCTTGTCGTGGTCGGAGGCCCTATGTTAAAATCTAGTTTAAGACCTTCCTTGCTTTATATTTTGGCTGTTTGTAAGAGTACTGCTAGGCTGCAAGCAAAAATTATTTTCATTATGCATTATTCTAAATCATGAGGAATTATTTTCTTTAATAATTTACTGATTGTTTAGTCTAAAAAATATCAGAAAATAGTGGGAAATGTCCTCATTATTCCCTGAACCTCAAGTAATATTCAAATTGCCTTTTTTTTCCCCGACCAACAGTCAAAAACCCAAGGATGCTGAGTTTACTTAAACTATTAATCAGTTATCAAAATTGTTGCCAGTTATTTTTACGACAGTTTACGTCACTATCGTTATTATTATTCAAAAACGTTTTCATTCGTCAAAAAGCCGAAATTAACTGTACATATTTTAATCAAAAATTAAGATTAGTTTTCAGAGTCAGCCGCTTTAATGTTGTGAGCGGTAAATAGAGTTGATGTGACTGGGGCCGTGAACGCACCACGCCTGTCTGCTCTCTAGTTACAGTATGGCGGCTGGGACTTGCGGAGGAGGACAACTTCTTCTAGATTCCTTCCAGAAAACTGTAGGAAGGCGACGGCTATAACTCAAAACCGCCACAGCAAACACTACCTGGACTGAGATAGACGACGACAGCGCAACGTGTGGCTTGTACAGAGCTTTTTCCTGGATGATAATCGGGCTGGTGTGATGCGTGAGGAGCCGCAGTCAAGAAACTCCCCTGATTTTTCCGCGTCTGTTTCTGCCCTGACTGTCAGTTAGCCGGTTAGCTGTTCGGCAGCAAACCCCTTCATGCTAACAGTCGCTTGCAGGGCTCCGTAGTAGCCAAACCACTGGCTAGCTTGTTGCTTTATTTGCTCCAGGAGACAGGGATGGCATTTCGCCCCCACTCGGTAAGCGAACTGGTCGAGAAGGGTGGGGAGAAAACATTTGAGGACCTAGATGATAAGTTTGTCAGCACTCACTAGCCTAGCCTAGCCTAGCCTAGCTTGCTGGTACAACGCCAGAAAACGTTGGCCGACAGTTAGCGCTTCGCCTGTCCACTAGCGAGCTAGCCAATTAGCATTTTAGTTGCACAAGAAGACCAGCTAATCCCCGGTTCATCCCGGCTGAGTGTTTGAAACCTCTGCACTAACTAATTCAGACGAAGAGTGGGCACTGAACTGCTTTAGTTGGCGGACCTTTAATTGACCGTTAATGTATTACAACTCAGGGTGTTTTGGTATTCAGTCTTGCTAGGTGTCGTTAGCAATCTTATAGGTGTACTCTGGAGGGAGTGGTAACGTTAGGTAGCTAGCTAAGGTTCCCTGTATCAGGGCAACAAGGTCACTCAGATTATGACAAGCTGTAAATGACAAAAAAGATTACAGATGACACATTACTGAACGCCAAACGTGTGTAAACCGACTGGCGTGTAGCACATCGTTGAGTGTGCCTGTTGTTAGCTTGCTGCAAGACAAGACTTAACCCAGCTAGAGAGCGCGCTATAATTTAGTTAACTGATCCTGATAGACATCAAATAGTTTCCTGAACTGACAAGGCACTTGATCAACAGTCACAATTATTGACGTGAGCTCTTGCAGTCTTGGGGGACTAAAGATCAAGTCTGCAGTGGCTGACTGGCTTCCCTCACCTACTTCAGTGCTGGAAGAGTTTGATGGACGTGAAAGGCTGTTTGCCAGACTGTCAGTGCTATACTCAGTCATGTATGTCTTGACACATGGCACCCTGGTCTGTACATAGTGCCTGCTGTCAGATATAGGTTTCGTTATGTAGCTTTGGTGGACAGTCAGTGAAGGGAATGTCTTGTCTTTTTTATACCTGTTGGTTTGTTTTTTATTTTCATTTTTTTCAAACACAGGAGAGTCTTGTTGAAACAAAGTGGGAAAGCGGTACAGCCCGGGCTGTGTACAGTGGACAATGTTTATAAGTTAGTGCCTAAAAGCTCAAAGGACGAACAATTCTGCCTACATACAGGCCACATATATTGTAGGTTATTCATTGGGGATTGCAATAGAAGGCTGCCACTCTGGATCAAGAAAACTTGTCCCTCGTGTCTGGTTGGAGTAATACTCTCAAGCCAAAATCAATGCCTTCAGCGCTGGCTGTGTTCGCCTGCCGACCCAACTCGCATCCATTCCAGGAGCGGCATGTGTACCTGGATGAGCCAGTCAAGATTGGCAGGTCGGTGGCTCGGTGTCGCCCGGCCCAGAACAATGCCACCTTTGACTGCAAGGTTCTGTCCAGGAATCATGCCCTGGTTTGGTTCGACCACAAGACTGGCAAGGTAAGAGAAGATGATGATGACAATGTGATTTTGATTACTGTCGTTTCCCCACGGAATTGGCTTACCTCCAGGATTTCAGATGCATGGGGTGGAAATCTACCTGGTTGGATGTTTACCTGTTACCAGTGCTGTCACAAATACACACGCTCTTTTACATGATAACAATCTGGAGCAGGTTTTTCTCCCGTGTGTGAACTCTGCTCAGACCTGAACAAATTCAGTTAGTTTAAGGGCACGTTCACATTATGCATGTTTAGAGGTAACTGTCAAACTCTGGAGTGTTGGAGTTGTAGACATATCCAACGCTGTACTTGGAAAGTAGCACGTAATCCCAGTTAAGGACAGGAAATGTTCCCAAAACTCAAGGGACTATGGATAGAAAGATGCAGATGCTGTTCCTCAACCTAGGGAAGCTGAAAAAGAGCAGAACAAAGTGAAGTCTGGATCAGTTCTTGCTTTATGTTGCACCCTCTGCCAAAATATTTATCTAGTTGCAGACGGTCTACCAAACCCTGTATAATTAACAAGCTACATGTAAGTCATATGACTTCTGTATCCAAACTATGGCTGAATGAATGAAATACTACAAATACTTAGCTCTTCTCAACCATGGCAGGGTAAACTGGAACTTTCTGTACCTGGAGTCCTTCAGAACCTGTTTAGGTTGTAATCTTAACTCTTGTTTTCTGTTTACACTCTACTTTAACAACTGTGAAACTGAGGATGTATGTCATAATATGAGCTCTTCAAAATCGAATTAGAGTTGTCTGTTATGGAAATTTTCACAAATTTTAAAGACAGAGATCCATTCGACAAAGATTAACTTTAATTTTGTCATTGCACATTTGCTTATCTTGTTTCAAATACAATGTCTTATTTTGTTATTTGCCCTGATTTATAAAACAGGTCTTCTTCATCTCCACCATTTATTTTCACAAATAACAAAGATGTGCTTTTGGGGAACATTAAAAGTAAAACTGTCATGCACTAAAACAACAAATCAAACCATAACAAATAGAGAAAAGCCTTGTGACATATCTAAGTAATTTCTATCATTATGAAAGGTGTGAGTGTTGAACACAAAACTGCATTTCCTTGTTTGTATATTTCATGATTTTGTCAGAAGAGCTGCAGAGCTCATTTTCCAGACAGGAGTTAAACTTAGTCCCGGACTAAACAAAATTCAGTGCAGAAGTCCATTGAGGAATATCCTTAGTTGAGTCTAGGACTAGTCTTAATTCTTGTCTGGGAAACCAAAGGTCTGAGATCAGACGGATCAAATCTGTGCGTTGTAGCATCTGTCATTGTGTGGCTTCAGTGCGTCTGTAGTTTCTCCGTAGAACAGGTTGAACAAGCTGAGACAGCCACGGGATTACCCAGCTATGTGGCATGCAGGGACTTTGAAATACCCTGTGTGTGTTTGTGTGTGTGCACACAGCAAAAGCTATTTATAACGACACCAGTAGCGTCATCCTTTCCTCCTCTTCAGGGATAAATGGACACACATGGATTGACCAACATGCACACACCAACATACACTGATTTATTGGCACTTGTAATTCGCCAGTGTTTTGAAATGCATTGAACAGAGGATCAATAATTTTTGTTATTGATTAATCACCAGAGGTTTTCACAGCTCAGAAAAAGGCTGTGCTGGTACTCTTTTGAGCTGATTAACACAGTCAATTACCTCTCAGTATAACAAACCTTGTCACTGACTGGGTCTAAGTAATTTGCAGTGCTGAAGTAGCCCAATGGTATAAGAAAGACTTCAACAGTGTGGAATGAATTACAATAGGCACTCTATTTTCCTAAATGCAAGAGAACTTAAGAATGTCTGTTTTCTGGATAAAGACGCTTTTAAGATGTGAAACGCTTCACAAGGTGGGCATGTTTCCAAAGGGGAAAAACATTCAATTTTCTTGCTAGAAACTTAAGTCAATCTTTAAGTGGGACACAAGACTTTAGACCGATAATTTTGTTAGTGTATTGTGTATATGTATTGATAGTGGCTTAATGGTGTGACTTGGCATCAGTGTAGACAGTTTGTTGGCAAATAGATGTGACAGAAGAAATTTACTCATAGAAAACTCCAAGGTAATTTTAATGTACAGAATAATGATAAAAACAAAATTTTTATCATACGTGTATTTACCCAGGAATGTGAGTGCGAAACAGGGTTAGTACAAATAACATAACAATACCACAAATACAAAATATACTGCATTGAAATGTTGGAAATTATGGCTACACTGTGAAAAGGCAATGCCTCAGTGTTCACTTTTACACGCACACACACACGCACACACACACACACACACACACGCACACGCACACACAGGAATTAAGCACATAGACCTGGGTTGCATAACCAATACCTCATAACTGTAGGTTCCTCTTGCAGTAAGATGTTTGTCACATGAGTCTGTAGTTTACTTTTGTTCAAAACCAGCCAACAGTTTCACTTTACAGTATGATTTTGAAATGGTTTGATGCAAGTTTGTTGCTTTCATCTATACTGTTCTGCATTGTGCTTGAGAGCGTGTGATTGGAATACAACTCAGGAACCACAAGTAGAAAATGGTAAAATGTCATTGTAAGCTGTTGTAAAATACAGCACATATTGACACTTTGTCATTCTGGCGGCTTTGATGCTCAGCAGTTTGCCCCTCCATCTTGTCTTTGTGGGATAAGCTTGCACCAGAGAGGAACAGGTGTGATTGGTTGCATCCTGTGATTGATGAACCAATCAGTCGGCTCAGTGATCCAGCAGATTGCTTTATTATTGATGTTATCATTCTGTACATCAGAGCAGGGTCTACTTCTACTTTGAGACTGGAAGAGAGAGACAAGGACGCCTCACTCTTTGCTTCTGAGGGACTGATGGATCTTGTGTTTTAGATCACTGAAACTTGTTCATTTCTCTGACTCCACTGGAGCTGCTGGAAAAATCACAACACGGTGACATCATGGCTTTTACATTTGGTCAGTTTTATTGTTTTGCAGCCAGACTGAAATGTGATTAAGGATTGAGACCTGTAACACTGTAATTACATGTTATGCACTGTAGCCATCTGATGTCATGGCCTCCTGCTAGGACTGTTGCCTTGACACTGACTACTGTGAAGGAGGGATGTACTAATTGACATGAGCACAGCTGTTGGGATGAATATCTAGAGGGGTCTTTGAGAGAAAATAATTAAGTGTGTTCTTATTTAAGCAGCAGCCATCACAGGAAGGTCAGATCAGACCCAGCTGCTTGTCTCTTAACCCTGGAGGTCCTGGGATCTCAGTTTGGGAACCTCGGTGCTAAAGGAGCTGAGAGACCAGCCAGTCAGACAGCCATCAGTCCAACCAGGGGATCAGTCAGACAGTTACTCAGTAAAATACCCCAACAGTGAGATGAGATGTCAGTGCTGTGTCATTTACAGTTGCTTTCTTCTTCCTTCCTCAGTAACTTGTGAAATATGATTAACGATGTTGTGATTACATTGTGTATATGATATGATACGAGACTCCATCACTACATATTTTCAATTTATAGTGCTTTCTATTTATCATTACTGCAGCAACTACAGCCACCATACATCAAGAACAGCCGAAGCTTGTTTACATTCCATGAAAACAATATAAAAAACTATACAACCGTGCTAGGGGCCCAAAATGTTGCCAATGTTGGACGTAAACTGTTTCTTAACGCCCCTGAGTTTGGTTTGGATAACATTCTGAATGTGGAGATGTTGGATGCAAAGTACTTCTCCCTCACTGTTGCGGCAGACACACACACACATCCTGCCTGATCATAATTAGGGCTGGGTGTTGAATTTCAGTACTTTTATGGTACAGACTGTCAGTAGCACTGACAAAAGAGCCACACTGATGCACTGGGTGACATGCTCCTTCATTACCATGAACACACACACACACACACACACACACACACACACACACACACACTGTAGGTTATTTTGACTCAATTCCACATACACCATCCTGCTGCTGGAAATACACACTAGAGCACCAAATGTGTATTAATACCCTGCTGAAAATAGTCCCTAACAAATGCACTGTTGCCTCCCGTTTGAGCAATGTTTGCTACAAACTATACGGTCAGCTGCTTTAAGAAATTACTAAGACTTTTTAAAACATGAAACGACATATTTGTGAACTGTTGAGAAGTATTGAGAAACAGCATGTTGTTGGTTTTGGTCTTTTCATGGATTTTTTGACAGTAAAAAAACTGTAGAGTGACACCAGACTTAATACTTAGGAGTGTATGTTTGCTGTCAGTGCAGTAATGGCAGTAGTACTGTCCAGCTCTTATAAATCGTTTTGATTTTGACTTGTACTTGTAGGAAAACAACAGGTTGATTTAATAAAATTGATAAAGATTGCATTTCATGTAGGTTTTAGCAGTTCCAAGGCCATGAGTGCATGAATCATTGGGGGACTTAACTGAATCGAGCCATCATTAATGTGACACCTGTGCTTTTCTTGTTATGACCAGTCAACTTGTGTGATGTGAAAGTAGCCTATTATGATAGTATTACAACTTCCCACCGAGAATTGCTATCCAAGAAGCATCCTTAGAGCCGAGACAGGGCGGTTGTGTTCCTGTCATTAACTGTCATTAAACCAACCAGCCTGTCAGTAAGCTACTCAGAAGTCTGTCAGTCAGTTGGTAGTGTGCTCAGGCAGATACGTAGCAGATTAAACCAGATTTAGGACTCAGTGGAGATCTCTGTAATACAGCTGTATCACTTAGAGTTATCCAGCCAGTCATTCATTCATCCAGTGAGCGTACACTGAACCTCAACACGTGCCAGTTGACCGGATCAGACCAGGTTTATCCCTCTAGCGGGCATAGTTGTAACATGTCAGAACTACGTCTGGTAACTCCGCATACAGTCACAGCCCTGATGCTGAACATGGAAAAGTAAATAGAGTATCAGTTAATTTTAGCTGCTACTCAAATTCTGATTTTGGTGAAGCATGTGACT